CTACAATGGCATCTTAGTCTTCTAAATCTTTATTACCACTTAAAAAGACTTTGATGCTAATAGCATCAACTCGATCATTCCAACTTATTATTCTCTTAATAGCTTCTACACCTATAATTAAAGCCTCTCTTGATGGCCTCAAGATAGCCACCATGCCTCCAATCTCTACTTCAATGAAATAAAACTTGATCTCTATCACATACAATCCACTTATTGTTCTAATAAAGTCTTTTATAAGTTTCTTCATATCTCTTCTTTCAAAATTGAGCTCCAAAGGTTATCATATAGTGGTGAATCTAATTCTACCTTTTTTAAAGAAGATAACTTTATTTTCCAAGTCTTCATTATAATCAAAGCAATCTTTTCTTTCATGCTCTGAACTATCATAATACATGCACTTATTAACAAATCCCTTTGATTACTCCAATGTACGCAAACAAGTAGCCCTTTGGCTGTTCTTTAATTTATTCATCTCTATTCTCAATTCTTTCATACTTTTAACCAACTTCTAAGGATGTCTTTGAAAAGAGTCTTACATGTCTCTTGGATTGAAGTAGATGTTACTAGACTTTGATAAAGTGATTAGCATCATAGATAGTAGAGCTTTATGCCTCAAATTTATTTTTCTTACCTTCATCTACTATTGCTTGGTCACCAATAGTACCACATTCTCTATTCTCTTTTAATTATTAGTTAAACCTCCCTCGATGGACTTATCAATCAAAAGGACAAAAAGTATATCTCCTAGTACTTCATCTACTACTTGCAAGAAGAGCTTGTTCTTCCTTGCACCCAATAAAAGTCTCTTTGAAGATGAGAATTAAGAGAATTTTCTCTAAAATTCTCTAAGCAATTCATTGAGGGCCATAGGTCTATCCAATTATTGCTCAATTCATTCCAAAAATGACCTCTTCATGACTTTATCTACATTCTCATCAAAAAATTCATCTCTTAATCTCCCCTCAAAGTCATTTCAAGCTTCTAAATTATCTTGATGTAAATCCTTCATTCTCTTTTTAATTTCAAGAATGCATGAAAATTTAAACTAAATATATAGTAAGACTTTAGAACTTAATGTACCTCCATCTCTTTGATATATACTCAAAAAAACTTAATGATGTTCCTCCCATTGAAGCTTCCATATTTATTGATCACATCTTGTAATACTTTAGTCACCTCCTTTTCACTTGATTGTATCTTTTGCTCTTTTTCCATCAACATACTCAAAGCCAAAAGCAAATCATTGCTACTTACTCTTTCAGTGCCATTTGCATTACTCCTTCCAAAATCACTCATCATCTTTAAATATCAAAAATCTCTCACTTCTCTTCTTTTAACTCTTAAACTCTTCCTCATGCTCCAAGCTTGTACCTTTGTTCCATAATTCCATTGAACTCCACTTATACTATCAATTATCCTAAAAATGCTCTTAATGGAAGCACCAAATTTTTGTCAAGAAGACAAGCTTCTTCAGAAGTACACAAGATCTTTGATGATAAGTAGGTTATAAAAAGGCACAATATTGTCTCAAATGAAATCAAATATAAAAGGCAGCCTAAAAGCTAGGTATAATTTATAAATTAATTTCTTTCTTATATTAGGATATATCCAATTTCTAATTCTAATTTCAAATCTAAATTCTCTTTCATTAAAATATCTATAACTTATTTATTATTTATTCAATTTATGCAAAGTATAGCTTATTGATAATATAAAAAAAATTAAAATTAAAAAATCCAATAATTGGCATAGAAAATCCAAAACCAATCTTAAATTTTGTTGCCAAAAAACTCCAATAACTCCCTTCGAAAAATTTGCTTCACAATTCTATTTCTTGTATACTATAGCATGTTGGAAAGCTCACAACTAGATCTAGGTTTTCTCTACATATCAATACAAAAAAATAAAAACACAAGAAGTGGCACAGAAAAATCCAAACCAATGTTGGATCTTCTTTTTCAAAAAATCCAACAAAAAAATAAATAAATAAATAAATAAAACCTACTTGATTCTAAAACCTTTGCCCTAACCTTTTCCTAATACCCACTTTGAACCACTATATAGTTGGGTATCTATCCTAAAAGACAATACCTTCAAGCTCAAATAATCCATTTAAACTAACGACCTCTTATTCTAAATTTCATTCAAATTTGTAAATATATTACCATTATATTCTATTTCTTGTATCAATAAAATTAATTATCTTCTAAACAACTTTGATGCACTTAAATTAAATACATCAAAACAACATAGCTCTTAATTAGATAGTATATATGGAAACAAGAGTAAAGCCTTCTTCACTCTTATCAATGTCTTTTTAGTCCTTATTTTTGTTTCAAGACTTTTTAGTCTTCTTGTCTTTAACAATAGTAATTTTGGTTTAGTACTATACTATCTTTGAGTGAATTTATAGTCTTTTTAAGTGACATAAGAGTTTATTGATCTTTTAATTTTTTGAGATTCATGTCCTTGACACTTTGGTAATAATATTTCTATTTTTAAAAGTATACATAATTTATACATTCTAATATTATAAATATTAATTATTTTTTTAATTATTTTTTTTAATAATCCAAAATATATTTTAAACTCAAAATCCAAATAAATTGCTTAAATTTTTAAAAAATAATTTATTAACATATAAAATTATATCAAAGTATTTTTAATTTATATATATATATATAATATATATATATATATATATAATATATATATATATATATATATATACGTAAAAAAAAAATTATAATTATTATTTAGTACAAATTAACTTGAGAATCTTAAACCAAGATTAAATTATAAAAAAGACATTAATAAGACTACAAATGACCAAAGACTTTCTCCTATACATTATAATTAATAAGATTAACATGTGGAAGGTTCTTAAAAAGGTGGGCCATGTTCCCATTTTCTTTCACATCAACTTTTTTACACAAGAAATTACAGACACATTATTTTTAATACGTATTGTGCATGCATCTGGCAATAAAGAAGGTATAGAAAAGCTTAATTCCTTCTAAGATTCCTTTGAGTTTTTGTGTGCATGTGGCAAACAAGTACAAAGTTTGTGGTCAAATTGAGGGCTGAAGCAGAATGGTACCTAGTTCTACATGAACCAAAAATGCAAATGGTTTGTTGCACCAAAGCATTTTAATAAATCTTAAACTCTTAATTTTGTCTTGTTGTATCAGTGGCCTGCTCACAAAATCTTGTTCATAATTTTATAAGTGCTTTTGTGTGTGTGTGTGTAAGTGTGTGTTTTGTTTTTTGTTTGTTTGTTTTTTTTTAAACCCCAAACTCTTAACCATGCACCCCACTTACCAATATTTTAGGGACTTCTAACAATATTTGTTAGTGGCCTGCTCACAAAATCTGAGGCAGCTAAAAGGTAAAAATTCAAGTTGGGTACTTGTTTTGCAAATTTGCAAATAGAAAGACAAAAGACAGTCATTTTTAGAAACCTTTTTATTCTAGCAACATTCATATCTTTATTATTATTATTATTATTTTTGTAATAGCTTAAGAAAATAAGGCATTTTTATATACAAGATATTAGTTGATTTTTCTTGTGAATGTAAATCACATGTGGAGTTGTAGGTGTGAAAATAAGGCATTTTTATATACAAGATATTAGTTGATTTTTCTTGTGAATAATAACAAGGATGTGCAACAAAGATGAAGTGATTTTGTGTTACATCAATTTGGGAGACATTTTTCCCACTTGATGATGTCATCTTCACATACCATGTATTTTCTATCCTTTAACTATCTACACAGTGTAACAAAAACCACCTTTGTGTGCTTGTAAAAAAATATATGTAATGCTTCTGTCTGAAGGGAAAACCTACCACAGAGATATTAACTCTCTGATGTTCAAAAAAAGAAATAAATGAATTTGAACTGCCAAAATAGTTTTTTGTTGGCCATGGCTGAAGTTGTCAAATGTCTAAGTCGAATCTGGTTGTAAATAAATAAATCTTTGTACACACACACACACATACATATATATATATATATATATATATAAAAACATTACTTTTCTAATTAAAATGAAATTCACACAACATTCATTAATCATTTTTGTATCATTATTTACATTTTTCAAATAGATTTAATCTGCGATTATGAATGGTGATGCTTCTTCTTGTGTCATTGAGGAATATGCATGTTGGTATTATGGTTGTCTTTGGCATTATATATCAATACTTTTGTTAGAAAATGATGTTAAAATTATTTACCATTTGAAAAAAATACCATTTATAAACAATTTTTGTTACCATATAGGTGTTCCTTTTCAATATGGATGGAAAAAAATTAATACTATTATTTAAGAGATAGCATGTATTGCTACATACTTCTACTTCTATGCAACATATACATGAATGTTAACTTATATAATCAATCCAAATTACAAAAAATCATGGATATTCACCACCTTTCAGTAATACAAGACCACAAAGGTGAACTTTTCAGATTCCTTTAAACAAATGAAAAATTAAACTTTGCACAAGAACACTCAAAAAAAAGAAAAAAGAAGTAAAAAGTAAAAGTAAAAGTAAATGGTTCTACCAAAGTTGATTGGAGGGAATTAATTATGTTTTAATATGCTTAGTATTGTTCATATACAATGTTCTTTCCAATACAATTGGATATTGGCATTAATATTGTTGCAATTCCCTACACTCTCCCTCTTTCACAAAATCTAATGAAAAGATCAAGGAAGAAAGCTGGAACGAACGAACGAACGAACTAAAGAAGGAAGAAAGGAAGGGAGAAGCCAGCTGGGGGATGGGAGGATGCGAATCGGAAGACCCGGGTTCGATCGCGGGTGGGCGGGTGGGGGAGGAGCAGGATGGGCACCACCCACGTGTACCGTGGCGACGTCGCCCGTGCATCGGCTTTAGACCGGGGATTCAGCCTCACCCGCGATCAGAACGGACAAACGGATGCCATCGCCATCGTGGACGAAGAACACGCGCTTAAATATCCCTTTTCCCCGCCCTCCTCATTGCCATCCCCTCCCCTGCCCCCCGCCAGGCAAAGGCCGAGGTCCCATTGCTCCCTGCCCTGTTTCTTCTGCCATCGCCCACGCCCATGCTCCTCGCCATCGGGGCTGAATGTTCCGGAGTGCCTGAACCAATTCCGAGGAATGTCGTAGCACCTGCAGCTCGTCTGGTTTGAGAGTTCGTTTTCGCTTGAATTGCCAACAATTTGATCTCGTTTCAGAGGCGGTAGTTGGTGTCCAGCATGGCTGGTCTGGGCATCAAGGCTGTAAATGCCCGACCTGAGGCGAAAGGTTTGCTCGTGGTTGCTTCGATTTGTGCGGCGTCTCGGGAGCATTGTTAGGAATTGCAAGGAATCGTGGGAGAATTGTGTTTGTAGGGTGGTGATAGATTTGGAGATGGTTTCGGTTATGCGAATTTGGCTTCGGGTTTGTAGGTTTGTTGTGCAATCTGTGCTATGCGGGTGATTGTGAGGGAGAATTTGAAATTTTAGTCGAATTTCTGGTCGAAGATGGCATGCAGGACTGGTGTAGTTCTGTTATGTTGTCAAATTTCTGGCGTGCGGTGTTCGATCGAGCTGCGTTCAAGTCTTGGCTTTGCTGATTTGTTGTTGTTGTTTTTTCTTTTTCTTTTTCTAGTGTGTTTGACGGGAATGGAGAGTGAGAGTTTGTTGAGGAGCGTGATGCCGGCTCTGCCGATGTTTCGAAAGGGAATTTCGAGTACGAGAAGAGCAGCTGACTTTACGACAAAGATGAAGTTGCGAGGTTCTTGTCGAAATGATTGGTTTTCTGAGGTTCTGCTCTCTATTGTGAATTTCTCTTTTTTTTTTTTTTTTTTTTTTTTTTTTTGATGTATAGTCTTGTAGTTCCCGCCATGGTTCCATTGACGTCATGAATTTTCTTAAATTGTAGAGAATATAGTTGCCAGCAGCGGGTCGTGATAAAGGGTCCGCATCAAAGGTTAAATTGATAGCAATTACCTGCGGTTTTTTATGCATGTGCTTCTTCACCAAATCTGTTCTGAACAGCCTGCATTGGTATTTGAATGACGACTTTATTTATAGTCAAATAAGCCGAAGTCAACAATCTCCAATTCAATCGCATTGTCTTCGCTGTATTCGTTCTCAGAGCTGCTTTGAGCTTCCCCACTCCAACTACTAAATATTTGATTGGCCCTCCTTCTTGGACTTCAGAAACCTAGGTCTTTCTTTGCGGGAGCATCAACCTCTTTGAAATATAGGATCACTTCAAATCCGACACCGGCTCATGTTTGTCGAGCTGATAGTCTTGATGTGAGTACTTTTCGTGAAGTACTTCTGTATATTGTTTCATAATGAATTATCCACTTGACATTGTTCCTGTATACTCCTGAAATTGAGTCATTGTTTACCACACTCACACATGTTGTTTCGGCTTATTCGAAATTTCACCTTACAGGCAGATTCGTATTTGGGGCGATTTCTGATCATGTTCTTGTCTTGAATTATCCTGATAGACAATCCGGGAGACCTCTAATTTGGACAATGGTACAATAAATGGTATATGGGAGCGAGTGCAATTGTTGGAGAGGTAAATTTAAGAGTGCTTATGGTTCGAAATTGGCTTGTGCGTTTTTTCATCCAATTAAAACATGGTATTCGGTTTCTTGTCCCGTAATATTGATATTTGGTCCTAGTCTTAGTATGAGTACTGATCTGTAATTATTTATAACCAGGCAGTTGGGCGTGGCGGTAACAGAGGAGAATTACTCTGAGGCCTCGAGGTGGTTATTGTGTTAGTGACCTCCTGGATGCCCTATGTTTCATGTTGATGCACATCTCGCTCTCAAAATATCTGTAGTGATATATTGAACTTATCTGCGAGAGCAGATAAGCATATGATTACGTTCTATACGCTGCAACTGTTTTCACTTTTCTTTTACTAGATAATTGATGTTTATTTCTGGTATTTCAAGAATCTCCTGTCAACATCTTATGACCAACATGACCTGGGGTTGTCAGGATACGAGACCAGCTGACTAGCTTGAAGTCTAAATTAACACCTGGGGAGCAGGTGTGACTTAAAACAAATATGAGTTGATTGTTTGTTTGCTTGTTTGTTTCAAATTTGTGATTTTCTCTTTCCTTCGAGGACTATACTTTACCTGGTGTTTCTCGTTGGGTTTGTGATTGGCTAGGAAGACGCCATTGAGGCCGAGAATGAGTAAGATAGAGTATGCATTTGTTGAGCATTATATGCAGTAGAAGTTGTCACTGCTCTGAAACATTATACCCTCTTGCTTTCACCAGTTTCACTTTTTGTAATCCGAGGTTGCTATGGGCATTGTCATTGTTAGTGATGGACAGTACTCGCTTTGAGTAATCGTACTTACAGAGCTTCGTTTTGTGTACTACTAGTTTCTCTTGACTTATTCAGCCCGATCTAGGAGTGGCAGCTTGGGGCAAAGAATGACGGCTTTAGCAGTAAGTTTGCTATATTCTTCTATAGATGGCACGTGGATCTGAGATATCTTCAGTTTTTCGTGTCTGAACGTAGCATACTCAATAAAGCTCACTTCCTTATTCGTGAATATGGTTGAATCGTCCTTGATTGAATCAACACATACTTTTTCTTGGGACGATATAACATTAACACTCTTTGTTTAGGCTATGGGTGAATTAGGTGATCACCGTGCCTTACCTGTATTACTCGAAGGCTTGCGTGACAATAACCCTCTTGTAGTGGAGCAAACTGAGAAGGTGCAAGTTCACACTTCTATTTCTTCATCTTCCTTGCTCTCTTCTCTTTTCTTGTCTTCCCTCTTTTTTATTTCTACAATTTTTCTTTTCCCCTTTCATTCACTCTGGAACTTTGTTTGCTTTTAAGTATTGTTGAAAATTTCTGCAGGTTTTATTGTTCAGCTCTGTGGTAAATCTGATTGTGTACCTTACGTTTATTATGGTCTGTAGGAGTTTATAAGATTACAAGAGGTGGAATATTTGTGTTAAACAGTGAGAAAATACAATATATAAATATAGTTTCGCAGTTAACATATGGCCTGGCTTTTACATATGAAATGGCTCCGTTATTTGCTGTTTTTGACTTCAATTACGCGCATCTGGTAAACATGACGATTCAGGCGATGTGGAAAATATTTATGCGATCTGGAAGAGAGGACATTGATCGGAAGCTTCAAGTAAGTCCTTGTGTTGTTACTAAATGTTGTTCCACTGCAATGCACGTAGATTTAGTGTGTTCACTAGAATGGCCATATTTTGTAGCCCTCCGATATTTCAATGAAATTAGCAGATTTATCACTAAACTTTCTTTGAAAATACTCGTGATTATTTTGCGCTGAGTTTGGACATCTCTGTTTACAGGATGGAATTGACCTTTTGATGACCAAAGATGGATACAGGAAGGCAAAAAACATTCTCACTGAGGTGGGTAAACTTCTGCCATATGAAAAGTTCTTATGCAAAGATGTGCCTGAATTCATTTTCCAATTTAAGTAACATAATCTATCCAATATTAATTGAGTTACGTGGTGATGGGATCTCTATCCATGCACAGATCATAAGTGAAGCGCCCTCATTTGCAGAGGGGTTTAACAAGCGAGCAACTGTCAACTATTTACTAGAGGTAAAGGAATACAGAGCTACCAACAATGATTGGTAGATACAAATTGGAGCGATGGTGCAAACTCTTTTTGCGATCTATTCTTCAATGATTTGATCTGTTAACCTTTTCTTTTGGTTTCTGCTTATAGTCCAGGCAAACTTGTGGCCTTTTGCGAGCTTTTTGACAGAGTAATTCGTGCAGGAATATGACGAAGCAATCAAAGATTGTCACAGCACACTTCAGTTGAATCCTTATCACTTTGGTGCATTGAGTGGTATGTGTCTATCATTTTGCTTCTTGTAATTAAAGATATGTTGTTTGAATAACAATTTCTTGAAGTGATTATTCTGAGAAGTATGTTTAACAGTAATAATAGTAATAACAATAATTTATACCGTTGCAGGTATGGGCTTGTGTTATGCCGCTCGACGAGAACTAGAAGCTGCACTGTTTTGGTTCGAGAAAGCTCTGGCTTTACATCCTGGATTACATCTGGTATAACACAGAACAAGTTTTTTATGTAGCACACAATGATTTCTTAGTTGTAAATATTGCCAAGGATGTTGGGTCGTCAGAGTTTTTTCTTTGGCGGTCGTCTACTATCCTATTATCGAAGTTCTTTCCTTCACGTGGTTACTTTATTGTATTATGTCGTTTATTTTAGAGAAGAGAAGCTTTTCTCAGTGGTTGCCTGGCAATAAGTACCAGAATCCCTGTTGCTCAACCTCGCAGCTTTTGAATAAAGTGAAAAAGTTCGTGACGTGGTTTTTGTTCTTTTAAGCAGATTGGCAAATATATTGAGGCGTTAAAGCAGGTGAGTTGTTGCATGCTACATATTGTGTACGTGTTACGTAACGAGGCTGTATATCAGATATCCTCAAGCTAGACTCTAAGCTTAAGTATGAATGCACTTGTTCAATCTTTACAGATATTTGTGGTAATTCGATTGTGGCATGCGGATATTCTAAGAGAACCTTTTTATGACTAGCTCGGAACGCAGTGTAGAGGATGCTGTTGGAGGTTGGAAGCAGTAGATAGCAGCGATGACATAAATCACAAGTTAGCTAAATTGTTACCTTTCGTTTTGCAGAAAATTGCTCATCGAAAAGGAAATGTTGAGGGCGATCACAAGTAATCCAAAAGGCCTGCAAGATCTGATTTCTGGTAAATGAGAAAATGGTTGGAAAATTAGTTATCCACTTGTACAGTATTTCCAGGATTCAACTGCCTTATGTATAGAATTATTAAATGACTTTGGTTGACCTAGAATCATGCACATTATCAGGTAGTTGACGAATTGATATTAGATCGTGTACCTTAGGTTCTCCTTTTCTTCAATATATTTGAATATAAAGCCAATGAAAGGGAATGTGAGCAGTGTTAAGGCAGTCAAGTTCAAGTGGAATGTGTAATAGTTAGTGCAAGAACTGGCAGACATGACCGTACTGACCACAACACTTCTACAACCCATCTAAGCAATTATCTTTTAGCCAGTCTGGCCTTTTCAGTGTAGCAGCGATTTCAGGAGTGCGAGAATTTCAACCCATCAAAATTATGGAATGAACGTAATTATGATGATCTGTGTAATATTTGAAATGCCAATATTGAAAAACTAGTAGCTTACATTAGACTTTGCACATATACCACACTGTACGTCAAAACCACATTCAATGAAGATGGAAAACTCTCAGATAAATGCTGTGTAATCATACTGATAAAAACCCATTACAATTTGTGAAACAACTGTTGCAACGTCACATCACAATATTCTTTTATAGATTTCGGTGACCTCTCGATGCACGCAAAAAGCGAGCAAAAATATTCATCCGTACCACATCGTGGCACAATCATATGACCTCAAAAATCATGGAAAAGTAATATTGCATCATCGAGTTTTAACAATGAAGCATCTAAAATTTTTGTGATTCGGCTAATACGCTTTACTTGATCCTGCTGGGCACTGGTCAATGTCACATGCGACACTTGCGCACCGTCTCCTGCATCCCTTGTTGCATCTAGCTGGTCCACAAGTCCCAAAACCTGGGGGAGAAAAAAGCCATTCACCGATAAGATGGACGAAGTCAGTTCTTTTTGTAATATGAAAAGTCAGCTGTAAAGTAAATTGGGCACCAGCTGGGGACATACTCACACCCATAAAAAGGTAACTTTATCCAACCAAAGTGATGCGCGACGGAGCTGCCTGGGAGAGAGGGGGGTGTGTGTATGTGTTGATAGTAATCATAAATAATCCTACCTCTTGCTCCTTCTGAATTTCATGTGCATGCCGAAGGCACAAATTTGTTGCTGCGTGGTATAAGTCATCTAAAACTCTATACAGCACAGCTCGATAATTCACTTTCCACAAATATATAGACTTGCTCGCTATATGTTCAGACGTTTTAGCAATTTCCTGCTCAATCAACAACTCTGGCAGGTCAAGATCTTTGTCATCCGAACCAACAGGATACAGGGATAATGACGTAAACATGTGCAGAATTGAATGCATGGGCAGTAGATAGAGTAGTCCTACATTTTTCCCAACAAAAAGCTTTACTACGCAGAATCTGAGATTAAGATGGCAGAAAAAACAAAATAAATAAACCGAAATACAAAACAAAACAAATTGCCCATGAGAAACAGGTCGGGAAATACACAACCAGAACACACCTGCACTTGAACGTATTGCTCCTTAAGAAGACGATAAAGCAACTCTTTCACATTTTTTGGAGCCATCGCTCTTTCTCCAATCTGGAAGAAAAAGTAAATAACAAAGCCCACTTAAGCTCATTGACAGTGTTATCCAATTATTTGTAGTAACAAGAGAAAATTGCCGAGTGAATCTCACTTGCTTTTGTTCGAGTTGTCCCTTTATGGCCAAAAGTCTATAAATACGACAGCATTCCCTCCCAAACCGCTGCAAAACTATACCCTCCACCTGCACACATGGTCCTCGACAAGTACTTGTAAGATTTGCATCGTCTAACTCAAAACGTAAAATATCGACTTAAACTAAGAAATGAACTTTGGTAACGGAAAACACCAATGCTAGACAACCATGAAAAAATGCCGCACATTTCGCCGGCGGAAACTTTACCTCGTTCCTTTGGCGCGCTTCTATGATGTTGTGCATATCTAATAAAATTAAGCGAGAACCCTTCAAAAATCAACAAAAGAAAAAGCCTGAACAGACAGACAAAAACTATCTGCAAACAGATGTAGGAAGTCTAACCTCCTAGTTAGTAAAATGGTAGTTAGTAATAATCAGATGATGCTATTTGGGTAGTAACTTTATTGTCAATAGCATCATTCAGTAAGTCTTCCAACTAAACCTCGACAGCGGATCAACTTAAGTTCCAGTCACAAGGATACTGATAGCATAACTGTTGCCTCCTTCTCCAGCTTTAGCGAGAAAACCAACTCCATCAGAAGCAAGTTGTGCTACTAAACCTCGAATGCGCTCTAAAGTCATATGTTGGCCGTCTGGTGTTGACCGAACAGCTTGAGTAATAGCATCCATGGAAAGGGGAACTGCACCAAAAGTACTCAGTGATATCAGTGACTTTGATATAAGAACATTTAGAAAATTGACATCTTGATTGGGTAGATTTAAGAGATCATAATTTTGTCAACTCATTGATACGCACCTGAATGATGTTGTCTAGCAGATGTTTCTTGATTCCCTGTTGCTTGAAGCATCGCGCTTAGAATTATAGCAGCTCCTGCGTCGAGCCTGGTCCTAACCATGTCAACACATGTCTGCCAAAATAACAACCCATGTCATGATCAATCTTCGAAGTAGTGATTTTGTATCCTCTTGAGTTACTAAGGATGCTAGCCAAGCCCAGTGCACTGTATTACAACATAGTTCATTCAAGAAAAATCCAGATCATTTCATACTTGAAATTTGCTTAGTCAATGCACAAAGACGTGCGTTAAAGTCTCACTTGCATTCATGAACTAACATGACCTCAATGATTCTCAAAGCATTTCATGACTAACAATGCTTTAATACATCCCTCACCACTACGCAATCAATCTTTTGAACTCAATTAAGCTCAAAATGACGTCAGTCATCACCTGGTGCCTTAGTTTCCGCAAGAATTGCTCAAAATTAACTCGCCATAAAACTTCCTTCTCATCAACTGCAGCAGCGGTCTTCGAATCCATCTTAAGGGCTTCGAACTTCCTCTGCACCACCAATCAATGAAGGTCAAGTCTGATTCTCCTGCAGGAAGAGAGAAAATGCAGTTGACATATTTGTGATCTATGTAGTGAAGATAGAGTAGTAAGCTAACATGACAAGAACAAAGAGACAGAATGTTGCATTCCATCTATGTTAAGATCAGAAAAGGTAAATAAATATGTAAAAATCCAAAAGATATGTACACAGACTTTGTTGCAACGTCTGAACAGTGTTAGCTTCTATGAAACACCAAAGAATAGTACTAAGAATGTCATTCACCTTCTGCGGAAGCGAACTAGGATCAGTCGTTTCATTGTCCACAATCGGGGCACTCATGCCAGCCATGGATATTGGCAATCGAAATCTGTCTGTCTCATCCGGAGCTGCAGCTTTGAGGATGCGCTGAACTACTTCAGATACAGTGTCTTGCGCAGAAAGTATTGGTCCACGCGCTTTCTGTTTAACCAGGTATGGAGGTCAGAACTGAAGGCAGAGCTAGTACATGCCGCATATTGAAACAGTGTGCCACAAGAACTTATGCTTTAAATCCAACCGGAGCATACTCACGGTAGAAACCTCAGAATTGTTGTAGTAGTGTGTGAACTTACGGCAGCACCGCGTGGCACTTTCTTTGGAGGTTCTACGTTAGAATCCTTTGGTTGCAAAGAAGGTTCAGCAGCTGGGCATCTCTCAATGAAGCGTGCGGCCACCAGCTTTGCAAACGTTTCTTTCACCCCCTTCACCACCTCTGCTTCCGCTGATCATGGAATATAAAACCATCCTCTTAGCGACATGATGACTACGGGGAATATACTAAGTCTTGCGAACTGTGAAACTCAGTTTTAAAGAGCATTTGTAGTTTTAAAGGCTTACTTTTTCCAGCTTTCGCAGCAGTCCGTTGTGTGATTTGCTCCAAAGTAAGCCGACCATGCTCAAGCAATCCCTCTACCAACGACTCTGCCTATGTCCAATTTGAAAAACTCTTAGAAAGCACAAAAACCATTAATTTTAAAGAACCTAAATGAGGCAAGAAAACAGAATCATGCCACCAAACGATGCGTTCTCTCAATATAAGAATGTATATAAAAACGTTATTGAGTATTGATTATCTGACTTACAAAGCTCCTAGACCTAAATTTTAATTTAAGCCGAGACAAGTATGGATAGAATATATTATGACCCCAACCTCTTCGCCCAAATCTTCACGCACTGCTAAGAGAAATTTCGGAAAGCGCATGCGGTGAAGAATATTGTCACATAACGGAACATACGAAGTTGAAACACGTGGAGGTGCTGAGCCAACACCTGCAACGAAAACCATTGTTTTCAGTAAACCGTGTTGCAAAGGCTGTTGACAAAACCTATCAACAATAGGTGTGGCAGAATCGGATGAAGCCCAATTTCCAGCTTGTAATCCTTCCCGAAGAAGGGAAAAATACCCAATTACAATTAAACTCACCCTCGTGTTCGACTTTGTACGCTTGGACGCAACTGTGCTGAACGAGAACAAGCAGGGAACTCTTGAGCGTCGAAGGGTTCAACTCCGAAAACCGGGCAATGTCCGCCAATGCCAGCGGGCCGCGGTAAACTAGACACTTGACAACTTTCTGCAAACCACCCCGAAGTTAGAGAAATATAGTAAAAAACAAAACGCCACTAACAACACCAATTCTAACGCCAATGTTGATCTACCAGAATTCAATTCCGAACCGCAATGTACACACACCACAAAGTTCGCAGGAGTTCTAATTGAATAAGTGCTATACCAACATTGTTGTCAATGTTCACCACCACACATCTAACTCAGATTTGGTGTATAAATGCCCATATTTGCAATCCTCGACAATGACCAATACTCGCAAATATTATGATGCACATGGGCAGAACTCTAAATTACATTTATAACAATGCGTGCAAACCGGAAAGGCTCTCAATCAGCTGCCCCCATCCAACTACGAGGAAGCAAGTCACAATTTCTGATTCCACACAGACGGCCAAATTCCCACTTCCCATTCAAATAAACACACACAACATCAATGACAAACTCCACAAGTCCGATCAAATCTAAGAATCACTCATTAACTCAAAACCCTAAAAAATTCTAGAAGACGCACTTACCAGACATTTTTGTCCTATGGCAAATGGACACACAAATTGCGCACTGTAACACGAAGTCAGGGTAGACAGAAACATGAGAAGCAGAACACAACCACACAATTCCAGCGAGCACTCAAGCCAACGCTAGAATTGATAACGTCCGATCCTACTTCGGGGAGGTGAGAGAAAGCATAAACCTGTACAAATTCGCCGAAGTGAGTCTGAATTAGGTCGCAGCACAGTCTGCGTCCGTAGGCCGTGGCCATCGCTGCCTGCGATCGATCCTCAAGTGCCCCGAACGAAGCCCCTGCGCTACATACTCTGCATCCCGATTGGGAAAATCGCAACTCCTGACAAGAATCACTCGCACCTCGCAGCGAAACCTCGAGTCTAGAGGAGGAGCATCATCGTCGTGGGGTTGATCGCAAAGGTGACAAAACCCCCGTAAGGATCCGAAACCCAAACATTCCGCGGCGGAAGCCCCCCCCCCCCCCCTTCACCAAATCAGCGCTCATGCCCGCCTTGCGATGGATGGGTGAAGAGATGGATGTACTTTTCACGAACGACCTTCATCTGCCAATCCACCATTCCATGTTTTACAGATATTGCTGAATTGATTCTAGTTTTCGATAATTTCGACTATTCTCATATGCTAAAAATATTTTTGACTTTTGATAATACAAAATAATTTTTCACTGTATCCATTTCTCTAAAAAATAAAAGTTTATCCATTTCTTTAAAAATATAAAGTGTTGTGTTAGTAAACATAACTTTGTTCTTTTCTTCCATCATTATGAACTTGGATCTTTGATAGAAGGATAAACAAATCTTGATAAATTTTTACGTGTCTCAATGTATGCATTTTTTAATGAATTAATCTGGTTCTGAAGGAAAATTTTAAAGTAAATTTTGGATTCTGATATATAACACTTAAATATTTTCAATCAGCTTCAAAATAATTAGTATTAAAAAAATAAAAATAAAAAAAATAAAAAAAAAACTTCATAATACGTCAACAACACAATGATCATTGAATAAATATAAAAAATATATAAAAATAAAATGCTAAAGTTTATATGAGCCAATAATTTTTTTAATTAGATTTGTTATACACCAATGTAATGAGTAGATTTTTTAAAAACAAAATAAAAATAAAAATTAACTACTCAAAGATAGTTTTATAATGTTTATTGTACTTACTGATAAGGAATTTTAAGTATATGATTAAAATAATAAGTATTATGTTGTATTTACTCTGTCTAATATTATTCATATCTCTAAATAATATCATAGTACAATAACATGTATGAGCAATCTTAATATGTGTGTTCAATATATATATATATATATATATATATATATTGGATTAAAGCTCTATCCACTGTAATCAAATAAAACAGAATATATTGTATTGTTTTCACTCTTGCTTTAGCAAAGACAACCACATTTTATGTTGAATGTAACACAAAGATGTTAGATCTGAAGAACGCCAATTGCCATATTCTGGTGTATGAGTTAATATGATTTTATTATAAATAAAATAAAATAAGACTTTTTTGTCTTGAAATTTTATAAACATTATTAATTTATGCTTTTATTTTAATTCTTATGTAAAATAAAATTTAAAGAAAGTTCATAAATTATCATATTTTTTGAAAGACAAATATAATGTATTTAAAAAAATATTTAAATTTTATGTTTATATGAATTCATTAATAAAATTAAGAATAATGTATAAATATATATATATATATATATATATAATGATTTAATTTTTTGAATAATTTTAATTGATACCATATGCAAGTCAGATTTCTATTTAGATTTATTTAAAGTTGTGAAAAGGATTAAAAACGTTTGATTCTTGAATATATATACATATACATACATTGAGATATTTTAAAACATTGTAATCATAAGAAGAAAAAAAATCTAAATGTATTATTGTTTATATAACACAATGTTTGTCTTAAAATAATAAAATTTGTAAAAGTTCTTTTTGAAACTTATAAAAACTCAATTATTATAATTTTGACAAACAAGTTTATCCTCACCATAACTTCGTATTTGTCTTATTTTGCTTATAAAGAATGAAAAATTTGATATCGTGATCAAAGAATTTTAATCTAAAATCTGTGAAATATAGATCTTACAAAAGATAATAAAAAGGTTTTTTTCATCCTATTTAATTTCTGATACATGCAATTTTATTAATTTGAATTGAATCGGTTGTAATAAAATGAAATAGTCAATTTTATACTCTAATGACTACAACCAGAAAGTTATTGCATGCGCAATAATATTAAAAAAAATAAAAAATAAAAATAAAATCACATTGAAATATAAAATGTATCTCACATATATTTATAAAATAAATAGAATACAATAGAGTAGTTGTTTAGGTATTTAAACCCAATAAAAACAAGAAAACTTTTAAAATGTCTACAAGACTTTGTGAATATTAACAAACAATATATTAAACAGAAAATATTTTAATTTCAGTTCACAAAAGCATATAGAAGTCTTAAAGAAGTATTATACAATGTAGTGTAGAATAAGGGAATTTGATTAGACTAACATGTATTAAGAGTGTTTCAAAGAATTATTCTAACATACAAACAAAGTTTGTTCATGTGAGCGTTTTAGTTGCTCACATGTTATCAAATAGTTGTACCCCCTCTCAAACTACACTTAGTTTATATAAGATTTTTTTTCTTTTAAATATTCTTTTATCTCTTTGTAATTGTATTTATTCTCTATTCTTGGTGAGTGCTTCATCTTATCTATGATGACCTAAAAGATTCTAAAAGAAAACATATACTTCTAGTATTAAACTTATTGTGCTGATCACTTGTTTAGACTTGGAGCTCTTAAACAAGGAAGAGGTTTTGTTAAAAGTATGTTGAAGAATAGTCTTTTTGGATGAACAATATCTTTTGATGCATTTTTCAAAATAATATATTGTATTTTGGTAGTTGATAATACAACTACATATTGTAGTTTGTTTATCCAACAAATGTTTGAATTTCCAATCTTGTATACGACTCTTCATAAGAATCTTCAGGTATCAAGGGCATGTCCCCAATTTTTATTTGAAAAGATAAAGAATTGCAAAACTTTATATAATGGTCATACATACTTATTTAAATTAAATAAACTATATAAAAATAAGTAGAAGTTTATAAATTTGATAATATCTTATAGATAAGCTCCTTAAAAGCTTCATAAGTGCAAATATGATTTTACATTTGTTTGTAGGTGATTGGTAAATTAAAAACTTAGTCCAAAAAATTGGCTATATGTAGTACATATTGATGACCTATAGTACAAGTTGGCCATGTGGCATATTCATAGGAAACTTGTCTTGTAAGTTAGACATATGTCTTGTAAGTTAGATACATATTGGAGGTCTTATAGAACATTGTCATATAATTCTTGGTAAGATAGTATATATAGAAAGAAAAGTAATGTCTTCTTTATTCTTGTCAATGCCTTTCTTCTTCTTAATCTTGTTTTAAGAGTTCTTAGTCTTTTTTATCTTTGGCAATAGCAATAATAGTTTTAATATTAGACTAGCTTTGAGTGATTATCTACTCTTTTCTAATGACACAAGAATGTATTGACATTTTGGTTGTTTATAATTCATATTCTAGACTCTTTATAAAAAATAAAATAAAATAAAATAAGATTTGATAATGCAATGCTCCATTGAAATATTATACAATTTGTTTGACTGCTTGGAAGTGAGTCAATTTAAGATTTTTTGTGTATTGATTTAACATACTTATAATATGACAAATATTTAGTCTTATATTTGTCATATATATCAAGTTTTATATATAGACATGTATATTTAAGGATCTACTTTTGATATTTTAGTGTGCTTTTGAAGCATAGTTTTGAAATATATATAAAGCTTATAAGGATTGCATTTTAAAAAATCAAAATTTTCTAATATTTTTTTAGTGTATAATCTTTAGTAAACATAGATCCTCAATGATATTCAAACTTTACATCCAAATAGTTTTGAATTATTTCTAGATTAATTATTTTAATTTTTTTTTACAAAATTTCTTAAATTTTATCAAATTCTTTAATATCATCATAAGTAAGCAATAATTTATTTACATGAAGCAATATTATGATTATTTATGATTATTTATTGAATAACTTAGGTTTGAGTTTGATTTTCTTATTAAGCCTTGACTTTATAGCCATGCATCAATTCCTTTGTACAAAGCTTTTAGATCTTGTTTTGATCCATATAATATCTAATTGATCTTGTATATCTTAATTTTCTCTATATAATATAAAAATCTTGTGAAATCTCCATATATATATATATATATTATTTTATTTAAAATATTATCATAATATCTATTTATAGTAATTTATAGTAATTTTGAATTATAAGTATTAAAAAAAATTGAATAATTGACCATCTTAGTCTACATGAGGAAGTATTATAAAAATTTATCCCTTTAATTTACATGAATTATTTTTGAAAAATCTTAGGTTAGATTTAATTTTTTAATTTTTTGATCCTTATTAAATTTTAAATGTTAATTTTGTGTTTATTTTTTTAATCCATAGTTCTTTGTCAAAAATCTCTTAAATTTTTGTTTTACAATAAAATATTTTTCCTTGTTCATAACTTCTAACCATCTTTGATAATTTATGGCTTTAAAGAACTTGAGTGGTTTTTCTATTATCTTTGATAAAAAGTCTAATAATCATGTAGAGCTAAAGATGGTATTGATATTGAGAAGCATAGCACTTGTTAGCTAATTCAACTTGTTTATTTGTAAGTAATGGCATCTTTGAATTTTTTTATATAAGGTATTTTTTTTTTTATTTGTGGTAATTGTAGTATATTTTTAAGTTATTGAAGAATGAATATTTCACTATAATTTTTTGGATGATTTAGTTTTATATTAGGTTTTGAGTTATAACTTTCTATTTATGGCTCTAAGATTAATTCATTTGAAATGGGTTGAATTATTTAAAATAAATCATCATAAATATTCTAATTTTTTTTTAATATCAATATTATATCTTTTCCTTGTCACATACTATATCTTAGTTGATAACAACCTTGTACTTTATTAGATCAAATATTCTATATGCTTTGTTTTTTTCATCATAGCTTATAAATAGATACAAATAAATCTCATTGTTTATCTTTTTTGTCTTTTGTCTTTTGTCTTTTTTTATTTTTTATTTTTTATTTTATTTTGTTTGTTTGTTGTTGTTGAGATATGCACATATGTAGGACAACTAAATACTCTTAGGTTAATGATACAAGATTTATTACTTAAAAATATTTATTTTAGATTTATTCTTAGAAATAGCCTCATCTTCTATATACTTAATAGTGCATATAGATGTTAGATTGTGGCATGGACAACTTTTGGTTGAAACTTACTATAAGTGTGTCTTCATTTCCCAACTTGATGAGATGATGTTTTTTTTATATGTTTTTGTTAGTAGGCTTGAAACTACTAATATATGATGGTTTAAATGATGCCTTAATAGCTTCTAAGAGAGTTATTTATTATAAGTTAAATAAGCAATTTGTTTGATGCAATCTCTCCCATACTTGTTAGTGGGTTCTTTAGCTTCTTAGCCTTCTTCAAGTAGTCTTCTATTAAACCTCTTTCAAAGAACTGAAAAGATAAAAAATAATTAACAATTGTAAGTAATTGGTTCAAATCTCTAGCTTGACACAAAGCTTAAAGTGTTGCCCAAGCTATTACTAGAGTTGTATGGACAACTATAATTTCAACAAAATTATTGGTAAATGCTATAATCAACCTTCTCAATATAATATCTTTTAGCCTATGAAAGTGAAAGTAGATAAATTTACAACCTTTATGATTGTATTAAAATTTTGGTAGATGAATGACAATTGCTATTACTTTCGACAATTATATACTACATAAGATTGTCCTCATCTTTAAGTTTCACACATAGTAGTTTGAGACTCATATCAACTTATGAGTCTTTCTAACATTTAAATTGGACTTAATTATTTATAGTATTTATTCTATCTCTCTTCAAAACAAAGCTTCATTGATCTTATTTTCTTCCTTCTTTCTTTGATTCTTTCTATTAATCCTTCAAGGAGCAATGTTGACATTTTATACTTTACACATCTTGATACATCAAGGTTTAACAAGATTCTTTCTTGAAAAAAACTAACTTTCATACAACTCCAAGATATATTCCAGAATTTGAAAGTGGATGAATAAGTAAATGGTGCACCTTCTTACTTTAGTAGCCATTTTCTTTAACAATAGATTGTTAGGAGTAATATTCTCGAAGAACAAAAGAACACGGGTATTGCATATAAAGATTAACTTTAAAAGTTTGGATTCGGAGCCGATGGTCGGCAGCAGGTTCGTGTCTCCGGATTCTCGCCCACGACAGCGATGGATCCTCGTCGGCAGGGCAAATTTGAATCGCTATCGAATTCAGATCAACACCGAGTGCAATTGTCACTGGAAGTGGGTCTCCTTCGTGACCTAGAAACGTCACTGTTATCGCGGATTCTCCGCATGCAATGTACCTCACATCATCTATTGTAGCGAGTCCCCTCACTGCGATGATTGCAAGATCCGATACACACTCTCACTGACATTGGCTTTTAATTGCAGCCTCTATACCATGAAGTATACCATGTTGGTCGATTCAATGGTAGAACTCACAGTACATGGCAGGAGGCTATCACGAAGTCACCACGCATGTAGGCAGCATGAAAACCCACCTAGCATTTCGTCCTGAAAATTACTGCATTCAGTCTGTCCTTACTCTACGATAACTTGGACTTTTTGGATGCGTTACACTTAACTACGGCACAGGAGATGGTCACCACGGGAGCACGCAAACGTAGAATTCTCTCGTAAGGGAGAGAGATCAGAGCGTGGGTGTGTGAGAGGGTCCGTGGTTTAGATCACTGTCGAGCATCTCGTAGCAAGCTGGCTATAGATCGTAGTCGGATGAGAGCGGGGGAACGGTGCAACACTCATGCATCTGCTAAATGAACCGCATAATCAGCCATTTTCAAAATCACCAATCCCTACAATAAGGCGTCCAGCACTTTACGCGTCTGATTAACTCCTCACAGTGGAACCAAAAATAGGTCGTTACAACGCCTAAATGCCGTTACAAATAGATGAACGAAATTTCCAACGATGGCAACACATTCATCCAATAATATCAACTCCTTCGACGAGGCAGTGCAGCCAGCGGAGATATTGGCATCACAGGAACAGGCGGATGGATGAATAATGAACGGATAGAATCGGCGCGCAGGAGGGTGGGGCGGGGGGACCGGAACTAGGCAGTTTGAAATGGCAGAGCGACGTCTGCGTCGTCCTCTCTTCAGCAGAAGAGGCTGTTCTTTCTGTTTTGCCTCGCTTTGTCGTCAATTTGAGTGCTTCATAGCCCATCAGCCAGAGCCGTAGGTACAGTGTCTAGAGTTTAGACCCTTAGCCTGGAGTCAAGGAGGCCAAGGGCATGTCCCAACGGCTACCTGCAACGTAACAGAAACTGATATATATAGTCATTTCGGACGCTCGCGTCTGTTTAGACTCAGTGCCCAACAGTCTCCCTGCTCGTCGGAAATCAGGGCCAAGGAGGGAGGGAGGGAGGGAGGGAGGGAAGGAGGCCTTACCAGTAGTCTCTGTATGTATGTGATTGTGGGGGATAGAGAGAGAGAGAGAGAGAGAGAGAGAGAGATAGAGTGAGAGAGGGAGAGCGTGAGAGTGGTTCGTATTCGGGTTGCGGAATTTAGTTCGACTAGTTACCGTTAGGAGGCGTACCTGGGGACTAATGTTCTTGTGATTTTTGATTCTTTAGATTTTGAGCCTCAAGTGTTGCCGGCGATGGAGGATGATCAGTAGTGCCTCGAGCTGCGGAGGTCACGTGTAGTTTTGAGATGTTTTGGTGGTTATGACAATGTGAAGGCTGTGGTTCGATGTTGACACTTGGCGTGGCAGGTCGTTGAAGGCGAGTGAGTTTTACAGAGTAGAATGCGATTTCTGTGGTTTCTGACGGGTTGCGCTCAGAGGCGTTCGGAGAAGCACTGGAGAGTTACTAGAAGATAGAGCGGAACCGTACTGAGAGGCGCTCTCGTCGGATAAGCTTGCAAAAATTGGGTAGCATGGAAGAGGAGAATGGTTACCTCCTCAACTTCGACCAAGAGGATGATAACTTACTTGGAATAAGTTCCGGAGAGCTCGGTTCAGGTGTGAACCCATTATTGCCGACGATGACACCTTGTAAATTGAAACCATCATCAGCGGAATTCGTGGCGAATCATCCTGGTAAGTTGACTGACGCCCGAGACACCTGTATGCTTTCATATTGTTGTCAGAAGGTGCTGGTGTGTTGAAATCTGCGAGTAATCCGCATGAGAGTATTGGAGGGACCGCCGTTGAACCAGGTTGAATTGCTTAGCTCTCCTTGGTCGATAGATCTCTATCAATAGAACTGGTGCTTCATCATGTGTTAATTTTTTAAGGTTCTCATTCAACCATCCTCGAATGCAGGTAAAGAGGAGTCAGGAGGTGTGACTGCTGCAGAGGAAGCAGACTGTAATGTCAAACAGGGGCCAGCACCCACCAGGTTCCACATGGTTCCAAATTCAGTATTGTCTGTGCTGAATTTCAATGAGATGAACAAGCGAAAAATCGAGGAAACGGGTCTCAGGAAGGGTCTTGGAATTAAAGGTGCGCTGTCCGGAATTTGGATAGGGGCCGCCTTTAATCTTGAGCTTAGAACGTGGTATAGCAAGTGCTTTGTTTAGAAACCAGAATATGAGGCTATATTGAAGTGCTCTGGTAGTTCTACCGATTTTTCTCCTTTGCTGTTCACAACCTCTGTGTGATCCTTTCGTAAGTAGAACTTGGGCAATAGTGCGTAGGACTTCTCTCTCGAAGTTACTGGCCCCTACGTTGAGACTGAACTCTCATTCTGCTACCGCATCGATAGCCAGCTGGGGCTATGTTACTTAGCTTCACACCCCAATACGTAGCTGAGCCCTGTTGAAGAGTGATGCCAAATGCCTTGCTGCACTATTGTTGATAAGTGGGGGGTGTTCTGCAGAGTCCATGCAACTCGACGGGATTTGCGAAACTTCACCTGTCAGAAACCCTGGGGATTTCACAAGTCAGCTCAGCAGAAGTTATCTTGATATCGAAAATGATCAGTTGAGAGGAACTGCAGAGAGGGCAGGTTGCGAACCTACTGTTCTTCGTAAAAGTAGGAGCAGACGCTCAACAACACTGCGGAAGTCTCTAGCCTGGGACAAGGCCTTTTTCACTGATGAAGGTATTCGTCGTTGAACTGCAGTGAAACTAAACCACTCTCCATCGTCACTGGTAGCCTTTTCTCGCTGAGATCGTAGTCAGAATGCAGTTTTTGCTTCATTCAGTACTTACTGCCAGTTCGATGCTTCTTGTTGCCCTTCGGTTGAAGTGCTGATGCAAATTTCGAACTCATGCAGGTGTTCTGGATAATGATGAACTATTTGCCGTCGCTTCGGACAATCCAAAAACATTGCCAATGCCCGAGTTGGCAACCATTTGGGATGGACCACAGAATGTGATAGCTCCATTTGAGGCGAGGACTACGCCTATCAAGACTCCAGGGAAGCCAGCAGGTCTTACGGCAGAAGTGAAAGCAGAAGTGAGATCAGAAGGTTCGAGGTCACAAGTGGAACCAGAAGTGAGACCAGGAAATTTGAAAGTAGAGCCGAAACCTACTGCCAGGCCTGCTCCGAATTCGAAACTTCAGCACGGTTTGTCCGATTTGTCACTCTTGTATCATCGATGCCCTTTGTCCTTAGCTGTTCAATCTACAGTACTTCTCCTGAGATGCTGAGTTAGCCTAGTACCTGGCTCTTGCAGATGTCCCACCCATGTCTTCTCTCCGGCCGGATGTATTACATTCTATTCGGCCAGTGCGTCACACCCAAAGAACAGGATCACATGCCTTTTCAAATGCATATTCCAGAGCAGCAGCAATACCTCAAGGGTCCTCCTCAATTCCTGTGCCCACTAACTTGTCTAGAACTGGGAAACAATCTGCTGGTAGGTCTACAATCGAGCATGCGCCGAGTACCGACTCAGATGTAAGTGTTCGTTGGTAACTGTCTGGTAACTGTCTGGTAACTCTCTTCAATTTCAGGGGCTAGTGTTCCTGCCGTTCTCTCTAATACGATTTAATGATATGAATAATAGATGAAGGAGCCTCGTAACTCAAGCATAGTGCATCAAGCAAGAATCGCTGCATTGAAGAAAGCACACGAAGTGCCGGCGCAAAGGGGACCTCGAGTCCGGTTACCATCAGTCAAGATGCAGGAGGATAAGCCTGCTGAGGAGACGCACAAGACAAAGCTAACCAAAAAGGTAGATGTTAAGCCTCTGGTAGAGACACATAAGTCAAAACCGTTCAAGAAAGTGGATCTCAAGGATGAGGGATACGTGACGAAGCAGTCGCAGAAAGTCGAGGAACCGCAGAAGATGAAGCAACCCTCTCTGAACAGAAGTTTGTCCACGCCCACTGTACTAGAGTCCCCTTCTGCACTCTCCCGCAAGATGTCATCCATGTCTAGAAAAGTGAAGGAGACGCTGGAGAAAGTAATGACAGGTAGGTCATCGCTCCGGTTCACTGATACCTATGTTGCCGTGTTCGAAATCTTCCTCATGTATTTAACTTTGATTATGTGACTGCCGTTATGATACATGTTGTGACGAGCTGCCCGAAATGTCACAGGGCGCGCGCGGAGAGTTCTAAAAGAACCTTCCTTGTCCCATGTTCATCCTGTTGACAACACGTCGTTGTCGTCAAAGAAGTTGGGTATGCTGCCTAAAGTGCCGGAAGTGAAGGATTCAAATCATAGAACGCGATCTAATTCAACAGTTGGACCAAGCAAGACCAATAAAGAGCCTCCTGTTAGAGACACGTTACGAAGCAAAGGACCCCCGTTGTCTCCGAAAGCCGCTCTTGCTCAAGCCCCAACTCTCACGAGGAGCAAGAGTGTCTGTGCAGTTCCTGGCCTGCCAAAAGCTACTGACTCAGTGTATTCGAGAAGAATTGCACCCTCTGCACCCCCACCCACTTCTCTGCCAGGAGAGCCTGCCGGAAAGCCGACTGGTCTTCGTAAACCTTCACCCAAGCTCGGCTTCTTTGATACGGTACGTTTACTCTGCCTTGCATGTTGATGTCGTCTCGACGTAGCTGTAGCTTGTGGTAATGGCCTTAGTTTCTATACTGGTGCAGGTCATTTTTTTTGCAGGGCTCAACCATGGATTGTGACTATCAGAACTTCCTCATCTCTATACCCAACCGTGGTCACCCCAATTCTAAGGATATGTTTCACAGATATAGGCACGTGATTCAAATGTCATTCTTATTTAGGTTAATGCAAGATTCTTGTAAACGCCACTATTCTAACGCTGTAGTTCCGTAATGCAGGGGAGAGCCACATCTATTTCTCAGAAAATATCAGCGATTCCCGAACCGTTCCAAAGCATTCTAAGTACAAGGGCAGGAACTGAGACTTCGGCACCAGGTGAGTCGCAAGCACAGCGATTGTATGAACTTGCCCCTGTTAAGGTCTCGTCTGCTATTCCCAGTGCACCTCACTTGCGGTATGGTGTGGCTTCTGCTCCCACTTCACCCAAAAGCATCCGTGTCTCTGCTCCAAGCTCTCCCAAATGTTTATCCACCACAACCACTAGACCCTCCTCCCCGGTCATCGAGAGAGTCGCTCTGCCAGTATACTACTCAGGTATAAGACATGCTATGCAGTTCGCTGATTCTCACCAGCTCCTAGCCAAGAGAATGCAGACTGACAGTGGCAACGATGAAGCAAGGGAAGCTGCTGAGGTGTTTGCCTTGGACTCATTTAAGCTCCCTGAGGCGCTGTCAGGTTCTTCAGAGCCGAATACGAAGCCAGCCATGCCCTCTCGTGAAAGGTTGCCATCAGCCTCTGTCGACTGGAACTCTTCCGTGCCGCCGGCTCGTGGAGGCTCAAGTCTCGAATTGGACAAAAATGTATCTCATGACAACGGTACACACACAAGTCTACTGGGACAACGGACTTCTGAATGTCTTGTCAAACTCGGAGAAGAGCATCTCGAGAATTACGTTTCATTGAAGACGACCGAAGCTAATTCCACTGTACCTGTATTGAGGTCCACTACCCCAGTGCCTGGCTTGTCTGTTTTTGAAGAATCCAACCTCAGAAACTGTTTATCTGCTGAGCACATTAGCAAAGGAATGGTTCAAACTTGTGATTCACCAAGCCCCGAAACTAGTGCGATGTCTGGACTCCCTGATAGCGGGATCTCCGGTAGGAAGCCTCCTGATACTGTAAGTCAGTTCAATCAAAGGCCTGGGCAAGATCTTGGAGAGGTTCCCACTTTGAGTCCTAAACCTGCCCAGAACACATCCTCTCCCAACGTTCAAGAGACGAATGTCGAGGGACAAAGTATGGCTGTAAATGCGTGTCAGCCAACCCGTAAAGCTTGCGGGGACAGTGATTTACCATCTTCAGCTTGCCCAAACACGCCTGCAAGCAAGGAGCGCTCACGCAGTAACAGTGCTAAGCTAACGAGGCAGTTCGAATCTCCACGAAGCAAGAGTTTCAGAGAAACATCGTACAGAACACAGAATCCTTCTGACTCACCTAGGGTAACTAATAAGTACGTTCGAAGCTTCAGTCAACGGCAGCCATGGCAATCCCCAAGCGGCACTGTTGGTGGTGACGAATCACCAAGCTTTTGTCCATCTACCTTTGGTAACCGTCTTAGCTCAGCGTCTCCCAGCCATGCCCCAGATGTAGGTGGCACTTTTGAAGTTCTGACACCAACTAACTCTAGAAATGCCTGCGGCGCACGAACTCCAGGCAGCTCATCGAAGAAGGTAGTCAGGAAGATCGTGGAATTCGAAAGCCCGTCTGCACGCTGGTGCGACTGGCCAGTTCTTGGGGCTGTCCTCTCTGAAGATCAGTTATCAGTACCCATTGAGGAGAGCACGAGACCTGCATTACCCGCCACCTTAGAGGAGCAAGCTTTAAACCTACCGACGGATTCCCAACCGAATAGTTCTGTCAATCTTCTGAATACTCCATCGGTGAAAGTCAGACATGTGGAATTGGACAGAGCAGCTGATCGTGAATGCATATTAGCTACAGACCAATCAACTATCTCAGCACCTAGCTGTTCAATGGGGGATGAAGTTACCCCAATGAACATTGCGTCTGCAGCATGGGATAGCGCATCTGTGGATGGGAATCGTTCAATTGCACCCAACGGAGAACAATGTGGTTCAGTCAAGAAAGAGAGAAGCTCGTCAATGTTTTCCTTCGCAAGAAAAGCTGTGGCACGATTGACATCATCTCCAACTCCTGCAGAACCATCCGGACAGGACAACGAGGGTACTCCAAAACTGCGGAAAACATCTCGTCGATTTAGCAAATCTGGGAGTTACAGCACTTGTCCTGCACCAGAGCCCAAACCTCTCTCGCCTTTCTCAGAAGCAAGAATTTGCGAGTTGGAGGCAGCTGGACCGGTAAATTATTTCACGTTAATTCAGTGTAAATGTTTCTACATCTTACTACTCCTTTTCCTGAATGCTCAGCGTACCTCACTATTACTCATGCAAAACTATATCTTCCAGGAAATTTTGGAAAAGAAGACTGGGCCAGTGCAGAACTCACCACCAGATAAAGTTGTACCAGACACCAATCCGTGGTCTCCGGTACGTTTATTGGTCCCCTAATGCTGACTCTCAAAGAGGAAACCATTTCTATGTTTCCCAAGTTGAGTCAACATAGAGTATACCTACCCTTCTTAATCTCATTTTCACTTTTCACATGGCGATAGCAGATCCTGAAGTTTTTTAACAATTGTGTCATGGCGTTTTTACAGGTGAAGAAGAATGCGCAACCGCTGGGTCCTTTTGATTGCACAAAACTTAAGTACATAAGTCCCGGCCTTGTAGCTACGTAGTTGTTTGACCCGAGAGCCCATGTTGTCGTTCAGAGTGTCAACTGCTAGTTGATGCATGTTGTTGTTTTGATCATCTTCACTCAGCACCGTTTCTTTACAGTGTGCAACCTCTTAGCTCAAAACCGAACTCACATGGAGCGTCGGACAACGCCTTATAATCATGTCGGCCTCATGTAGATCACTCTGCTTCCTGCATTCATGGGTGTGTACATACATTCTTCAGGTTCTAGTTTCCTCTATGCAAGTGAATCCACCCCATTGTAGATTAATACTAGGACTGAGAAAGGTACGAAGCCATTGAACTCCTTTTGGGGAGATTTGTATGTGCCTCGGTTTTGGAAACATTGTAACTAAAAGAGATTTCATTTAAAATACCAAAAGCTGTACACCGTAACTTTTTCGTATAGTTTTACAAATGGAGACAACTCAAGTTTTAGTGATTCATCCATCACATCTGCCCCTCCTGTCAGTGGATGGATACCAGAGCAATAGTGTCCTCTATCAATAGAACTCCTCTCTTCCCTCCCCTGCTAACCTGGTGAAAATCCGTCCGTGAACAATGTTGCTTAGTAGGTTTGCCACAATATTCGCCATTGCTTTTTTAGAACGATTCAAGACTGCTTATTAGAAACCGGGAACAAATCAACTCTAATCAGTATGTGGGAAAAACATGAATTATATCAGATGTGATATCATTGTTATCAAAAGAAATTATATAATCAAAAGAAGTAAATAATTTCAATTTGATTTCAACTTGCATATCCGTAACTGCATTTGAGGAAATTCTCCACGTTGTAGTAATGACCAACATGTGGAGATGTTCTTTATGAGACATTTACTACAGCTACAGACATGCAGGGAGTAATGATACTTGTTAAAGAGTAATCGCCAATTAACATAATGATCATGTAGTTTAAGCTTAGGAGAATGTGCGATTGACCCATTCTTTTACTAAATTGACCTATCCATTGTCACAAAATGGCACATAGATAGTTGAGCTCAGCTTCATCATCATAACTATCATTCATGTTTGATATAATCATGGTTTTTAAAAAATGGAATTTGTACAATTATAGAGATATCACTGGTAACGATAATGATCACTAATCAATTGTTACAATTAATGGTCCCTTCCCTTTATCCCACCTTGTGAGGACTAAAACTTCTTATGTACTCAACTTACTTTTTACTTTGCAGTATAGTTTTGCAATTGTTTTGATATTATGCTTAATGTTTAAGGAGGGAAAGATAAAATTTTCTATTCTTAAGTTATTTGAATTTGAAAATAGAAAATGTATTGCACATGTCTCTTCTACTAGAGGGATCTTTTGAATGTTTTGAAGATACAAAAGAGAGTATAGATAGGTTTGCACATACTTAAGGATATATAGTTTATAAATGATGCTTTGACAAGCATTGCATAGATTTTAAATGTGATAGGGGACAAATTTATAGTGAGCAAAAAACTTCATTTGTTGACAAAACACAACAAGCTAATTGACTTGGTGCTCATTTGAGTCGCATACTTATTGTTTGCAAGGTAGTAGATAGTAGTACTTGACAATACAAAATGGTCTCCATAAATACATGCCTTCATCATCACTTATATAGATCATTTGATTGCTTGGCAACTTCAATGAGTAAAAAAAGATATGACATCTCAGATGCTTGCTATAGAAGTGCTAGAAAAAGAAAAAGAAAAAATAATAATTGCACTATATAAAAGAGATATTAGAAGTAAAGTATTTACATATATTATTTACAATAAGCATCAATAATTATGTCATATTACCCTTCATGGTCATTCATCTATTGTTTGTTTTACAAAAACATTATATGTTGCTAATTATTAGTTTATTTAATAATGGAATAATAATAAAAAAAAAAAAATAAGACATATATCTATATCTATATATATATATATATATATATATATTTGCACATTCTACATGTGGTGAGTTTGCAAAGAGATATTCATCTACCATCATTATAGATTGTATATATAAAATGAAACAGTTCAAAATGCCTATATTGCATATAGTGGGAATTACCAATTTTAATACCCCATTTATTGTTGTGGTTATTTTTTTCTAAGAATAAACAAAACCATTCTTTTGTTGGGCATTAATTCAATTGATCTACTTATATGGAAGTATAAAATTCATTTGCATTGGTATTGACAAAGATTTGGCACTAGTAAATGCCATTGAAATTATCTTTTTCACTTCAATTGTCCTACTTTGCATATGAGATATTCAAGAATATTTTCCAAGAATAATTATGCAACCAAATTACAAGCTAATTGGTTGTTATTTCTTTCAAATTGAACTAGTGTAATAAATGCTCCTTCTAAGACTCTTTATAATATGGAATGGTCCACCCTTTCCAACAAGTATACTTTCACAATTGCTCATGTAGTTATTGAATGCTTACAAAATATTTGGATATCATACAAATTTTTTTTTGTTAAAACTTTATCTTGGAAGTTTAACTACATCTTAAATTTAGAGTCAACATTTAGATTTAAAATTATATTTAAAAGTTTCCACCAAAGATTTTCAAGAAATATAAATTTGTTTTTTACTTTTAAGAATCAAACAAAAGAAATAAGTATACAAGAGAATTTGGAATAAATCCTTGTATGTTGTCAATACAACATTGGTTTTTTTACAAATATTCTGAAATGTATATTGATATATGGACTAAACCTTGTCTTCAAGGAGTTTAAATCTAAAAAAGATTTGATAGAGAATTAACAATTATTCCTATACAAATATGTTGACAAATACATTGAGACTACAATATAAGTATAAGAATCACAATATAGTACATGGCAATATCATTTTGATGATTGAAGTTTTTCATCATCAATATTATTTGGTATATATTGCTATTATGATGACTCTATTAACATTGTGGAATAAATTTCCTTCTTTTTCACATCTCTATCATGTCTTCAATACCATTGGTTGTACATTTGAATTATTACTATCCTACTAACAAGAAAGGATTTGTGAATAATTGTTGGAGCTTGCATTCATAATAGTGAGATTGAAAAATCTAACAATCAATTGTTTAAAGGATTGGTTGCATGCAATACCAAACTAATCAAGACAATTTGGTATAAAATTATCTATCAAATGTATTTCTTTATAGTTTAAAATTATTGAAGTAATATCAAATGGCCATCTTTGTAAAAATTGCAAAGACCAATAATACAATGTTGACTCTTGTCCTACTCAAGTTATTTTTTTTACAACTATCTATAAATAAATTACAGATACAATCTAATTTATAATAATTATGTACATATGCTAATCTATATGTAATTAAAATTTCAAATTCTATTCTAAAAATCTAATTTGAATTTAGTTTGCATGGACAATGAATGGATTTTTATTTATTTATTTATTTTTTCCCTTTTTTTTGATAGAAGTTGAAAGAATAGATGTGACAAAAGATCTAAGAATTATCATTTTATCTTTTGATATTTTAATGGTGGATAAATCATTCAAAATTAGAGTCAATACTTTTGATTGTAAATATTATTTATCTCAAAAGCAGCTAACAACAATTTCAAGAATATATCCATAAAATTCTCATTGTATAAGTACTTCTATATGTCAAACTTCATAATGAGCTTTGTAGCTATAAAACTGGTAAAATCTACATTCAAAAATATATCTATATATTTCCTATGACAAAAATTAAAAGAAAGAAAAATAAATTAAATTAAATTTCAAATCCTATTTAGATCCAAAAAAACATCCAAGGATCATAAAATTCCTATATTAATTATAATTTTAAGAAATTGAGATACAAAAGAAGATATTCAAATGAAAGATAATAATTAATATTTTTGTAGATTTTAGAGAAAGAGAGTGTAAAGCATGTAAGTACCAAAAGATCTAAAATATTAAGCAAGTATTTGTGGTAGCCATTGAAAATATCTACACATGCCATAATTGCCATCTTATACCAAGCGCTTTGCAAATTCTTCAAAAATTTAATCACTACATGTAGAATTCCACTTTTAAGAGTATAGAACTCAATTTTCAAAAAAACTTTAATTAAACAAAAGCTTGCTATGATGGTTTGGAAAGAGTATACATCTTTTCATAACTATAAGTCAATTTTGAAAATAGAACTTAAAAAGATAGTATATTATCTTAATAACATGTACGAAATAAAAAATGTACTTTAAAAACTATATTAACAAATGAACTAATCACATAAAGGCATAGGACCTCTTTAAGCTATAAAAAAGAAATCAAACTCTTAATATAATCTGCATTAATTTATTATGAAAGATGATTAGTTGCAAAACATTGATAAGAGCCTCTAAGACTAGTATCCAATCATTTAAGTTGAGTCTTTCCAGTTATGTCTAGAAGATGACAACAAGTCATTAGATTATGACTAGCACATCCAACACTCTCAAGTAGGTAGTAACTATAAAAAGAATTAAGGTAAATATGTTATGTACAAAAAAATTGAAGAAGATAGCTAGACTTAAGAACTAATTATTTTAATACATATAAGATTAAATAAATAGTGAATAGAATTATATTTGAAAAAGACAATATTATTGTATTAAAATGTATAAATATATATGAATTTATTTTTCTTAATTAAAGATATGAATTTCTTTTAAACAATTTTTTTGTTTATAAAACAATCTTAAGTTTTTGAATCTAACAAGACAAAGACTTTGTGATTTTTTGGTTCTAAAGAAACTTCTATTATAATATAAGATAAAAGAACTCAAGAAAGAATGTAACCTTTACTAGGTGTTACAGAAGATTTCAACTACATAGTCCTTATTATAACTCAAAAAACTTTTTTTTCAATACATTATCTTCTTTGGCAATTATGCTCATCATTTTGTGATTATATTGCTTCTTTGCTCAATGTTGAGTAATGTGCTTAGGTTCTCTACAATATAAATATAATCCTTCTTGAGGACATTAAATCTTTTTTTACTCAATAAGAGGTTTGAAATGTATCATGTTAATTTGCATAGATTTTGGCCTTGATGAATAAGCTTCTGCAAGCTTAAAAGTTGTTGCCATGATTTGATTTTTATTTTTTCAATCAAATCTTTATTCTTGATATTTTTCAAAGAATAAATTTTTGCATGCAATGATTTAAGTAATAAATTATTTCAATGAGTCTACTCTCAGCATTGTCAATAATAAATCTTTGATATTATCTTTTCATCCATATTTGATTGATAAGGGCTTTGTCATTCCAATCTAGATCACAAGTAAGATTTTGGAATTATACAGCATATATAGTGACTAAATGTGATTCTTGTTGTAAAAATAAGAGTTTGGTTTTTGCTACCATTAATCAATTACTTTCTTAAAATATCATTGTAAAGACTTTTAAAAATATAAATTTAGATTATAAAAGAGTTATAAATTATTTTTCATCAAATATACAAATCAAGAGAGAATATTTCTAAATAGAAGTGCACTTATGAATCCAACTTAAGTAAATATGTTAAGATATTGAGAAAGATGCGATCTAAGAAAGAGCTTCACTTATTGTAGAAATCCTTGAAACTTTGATCTTGTTCCATCAAAATTCTATGACATACTTATTTTTGTCTCTTTCATACTTATGAAAATAATGCTTCTTGTATTCAATTGTAAACTTGATCTACTTACTTCTCTCAATTGCAGAACTTCTCGGCATAAAGTTTGAACCTTATTGTTTACTTCTTTCATAAGCATAGAAACAATACTTCCATAGTTTATATTAGAAATGCGTAAGTTTTTGATCTTAAGAGTGTTGATAAGCTTGTGAAGATCTATAATAGTTGCAAATCTATTCTTTCTTTTGCCATGAGTAGCATCTATAATTTTTCCTTCCATAGGTGACTTTAATTAAAGTAAGATAATTTGTAACCTTTAATATAAAATTAAATTTTTACAAAAAATAGTAGTCCATTCTCTTTAAGGAAAATAATCAATGTTTAGAAAACTAAAATTTAGTTTAAAAGTGGATAATTTACAACCTTCAAAATACAATAGTAAAAGTGAATAATTTAATCACTTCTAAAAAAAACAAGGACAATAAGTTGGTATTCTAGTCAAATTATCAAAGACATGAATTTCAAAGAATTAAAAGATCAATAAATTCTTGTGTTACTCAAAAAGACTAGAAAATCACTCAAAGATAATATAATATTAAATTAAAATGGTTATTTTCAAAGATAAGAAAATTAAAAAATCTTGAAACAAGACTAAGGACCAAAAAAGCATTGACAAGAGATAAGAAGACTTCATTCTTACCTCCATATATACTATCTAACTAAGAGCTATGTGGCGACATACTATTGGACCACCAACACATGTCTAATTTGCAACACACATGTCTTAACTGGTAAGGCAAGTTTTCTATATATGCACCACATCATTTGCTTGTACCACAAACTATCCACACGTGCAATACATGACTAACTTGTTGGCCAAGTTTCTAACCTATCAATCAACTATAAACATATATAAAGTTATATACGTGTTTATGAAGCTTTTGAGAAGCTTTGCCAGAAGATAATATTAAATCTACTTACATTTAGCTTCTACCTAACATTTCTTATTTAAAAAAATATATATGTCCATGACACTAGATTGGCAATTGCATTAGATTTCAAATTTTGCACAATAGACACCAAGGATAGCTGAGTAATATAGAAACTCCTTTGCCATTCAAGAATTGAGATACAATAATATAGAATCTCTTCCATAAATCCAAAAATAGGAGCATAGTCAAGACCAAAGACAACGTGCAACATGACACAATACAACATGAGAGGGAAATGGGAGGCATGGCAAGAAGAGTATTCCAAAGGTTGTTTCTTCTTCCCTCTTAAACACAAAATTAGGATTTTTTTACAACATGTAAAAAAAAAAAAAAAAAAAAAAAAAAAACTGCAGTTATGATTGTGACTATAATAAAGAGTATGGCAATCATGATGAATGTAGTTAATTTTCATTGGTTATAAATTCAACAATAAAAAAATGAATCTGGAGGTTTATAAATATATTTATAATTATAAAGATAAATGAATTGATTTAATAAATTCTTGAATCAATTTAATATTCTCCTAAATTTATAACAACATAGTATGTAAAAGATTAATAAATTTATGTTATCAATTATAAATCAAACAAAAATGTGAAACACATATGTAATAAAGCTAATTTTATTTAATTTTTTTAATATTATTTGAAGATAGTAATTAATGAGATCAAAAATTAATTATATATATATATATACACACACACGTTTTTAATTATTTTTTAATCAATTATAGAAAAGTAGCTAATATTTCATTCAAAAATTATAAATATGTAATAATGGTTGCTAGAAAATTAAATAAAAAATCCAAGTATGGTTGTAATGGAGAGAGAAATCATATAAAACTAATATTAGAATAAAAGAAACACACATATATATATATATACACACACACACACACACACATATATATATATATATATATATATAATAAAACTTTAAACACTCATTTATTTGTGGAGTTAAAATACAACATGGAATATTAGAATTTATTAAAGAAATAATTTAAGATGTTTAAGAATTTGCAAACAATTCTAAACATTCAATCTAACACTTATACAAAAATGACAATGGTTAAGAATGGTTGATTGATCACAATTGTATAAGCTTGAATTGCTTAGTAAGGTTGTGATGCAATAGACAAGAATTTGCACTAATTTTGTAATAATTACATGAAGTATTGATAAGATTAAGCATCATGATTTCACACTCTAATAACATTTAAAGCATCAAGAACACCATATGTTTTAAATCTTCAAGTAGACAAATATTGAAAACCAATGATGAAATGTATATTGCCTTAGAATCTATGGCATAATAGTAGTATATTTGATTCTAAACCAAATGATTGTCTATTTGATTTAAGTTAGGTTCAAACTTCATATGTATAATATTATCTAATAACACAATGGCTATTCCTTGGAATTTAAAGAGACATTGATAAGTGATACTTTATACAAGAAAACATTAAAAATAGATCTACGACACAATGATAGCATGACAATTATCAAACAACAAATAGATCACTTTCCAAGGTTGAAGGAAGGAGATGTGAATAATACTTTTTGATGAAGGAGTATCAAGAATTAGTGGCAAGACATGTATAATTTTGGAATCTATAGTAGAATAGTAGTACATATATCTCTTCTTTATGAATTTATATCTTCTTTAGAGTAAAAGGTTGGATGTTTGATTCAAGTCAAGTTCAATTTTTTTAGGCTTGTATTATTTAATGGTTTTTCAAGCTTTAAAATTAATCCTCATAACCTTGAAAATTGCAAGTGGCAAGTTTATTCTACAAAACCCTCAATCACCTTAAAATAGTGGAGAAACCTCAAAAAATCAACAAATCTGGCCTGCTTCAACATAAATAAATGTCACTCAATACATTGCTATGCAACCCACTTAGAAAAACTACCTGAAAAGAAAAATACATAAATAAATGTCACTCAATACATTGCTATGCAGCCCACTTAGAAAAACTACCTGAAAAGAAAAATACATAAATAAATGTCACTCAATACATTGCTATGCAGCCCACTTAGAAAAACTACCTGAAAAGAAAAATACAATTGGGATGCAATGAGATATGTATAACATCACTTCACTTTATCAAATGGTCATCTCAAAGTGAGCATCATGATCATTTATTATATAAAAGAAGGCTATCAATCCTAGTAACAATCCTAATGATTGCTCGAGCACCTTACAACTTGGATGGATGTATGTGTAAAATAATTGTACAAGAGAATGTGTGGAAAAATGAATACTTGAAGACCCCACATGTAGTCTAGTGTATATATCCCCATTGATGCATCCATATTCATAAATATCAGCTTTTGGAAAGCTTATCCAAGCAAATTTGTTTTCGAAATATCGTGTTCAAAACATATTCCCTTCTGATAGCTTTTTTGAATATTTTATACCCAATGGACATATAATAATTGACACTGAAATGATTTCTGAATTCAAAAGTACACTGCAACAGTTTTACACTTTCAAATTTAAAAGATAAAGACATCCAAGTCTGGGTATGATTTTCATTTTTTCATTTTTCTTTTTCTTTTTCCATACATGAGAAAAACGAACAATATAGAGAAATCGAATTTATGAAAACCGTTTTACTCGATTACTTCACACAAAACAATTTAAACAGATCTATACTTTCGGCGTGCCGATGCAATAGATTAAACGGGGTATAAATGCATACAAACAAACAACCAATCTTACAAAATGAAATAGCTATTTTCTTCATGTCTTGAATAATTTACAATTATTTATCAGCTGTAGAATTAGTGATTCACCAAGTGTGGAAGCTCAGTTCCGGTTTACTCTAGGGGACTGTAGCCCTCGTGTCGGCGGGGGTTCGGCATTACCGCTGTCAAGACCACCACCATGCCGAACAGCAACACCGAGATCCCGATGGAGTTCACGAGCATCGCTTCTCGAGCCCAGAGGCCCACAAATGGAGCTCCCTTCTGAAGAAAAGTGAGCTTCTCCAGCAATCCGAGCTCGGCGGTAGCAAGAGCTGTTACAAAAGCACCCAGCCCCAGGAAGATATGCCAGGGAAGAAGCTCAGCACGCGTCGAAGAAGACAAACTTTGGGTCCAGAAGGATACGAACCCAAGGATCCACTGCAAAAGCATCGAATCGCCATTGCTTAGAGCGAGGTTTATGTCAATATCACAGGTTCCAAGGCATACCATAACTGTGACCAATGCAGTTGCTGAGCTCTTCTTTACGTTTGACTCGATATGAAGCTGACACAAGTATTTTACATGACAAGCTATAACTTCGAGTTGAGTTTCTGACAAATGGGGAGTTTAAGAGAATAAGTTGTCGGGTGTGGATAAGCGATTAAGCGTACCTGCAAGAGGTAGAGCAAAATCGTGATGATTCCAAACCAGGAATGTAGACTGTAGAAGTTTTGAATCTTGAGGTCAGAGTGGAACTTGTATGCAGCCAAGATGCCCACAATGCCCAGCAGAAGTGCGACTCCCTGAAGAGTCATGTGCACGGCCTTCTGATAGGTTCTGTCTCCACTGACAGTCTTGTAAGAGATTATGGCTGCACACAATAGAAATAGGGTTAGAAGTTGGAGTCATCGTCTAGCACAAACATACTGGTGTAATGCACACGATGGGAGGACTCGAAAAAGTTGTAAATCAGAGAGGAGATGGCTCACCTTGGCTTGACAAAAAGATGAACCCCGCAATCATGAGCAAAGGGTGAACCTGAATCCACACAACCACTTAAGGCCTCAGACGACATAAATTTGATTTTTACGTTCATCGCTCAAATTGACCACCAAGTTACATAAAAACGCCTCGTGGTGTTCCCGTTCAATAAGTCTACAAACAATACTGTAAAACTAAGGCAAACTGTTCCGTCGCTACTAAACAAGACTTACAAGGCATTGGCACAGCGCGGCACTATACATAACCTACGCACCAATTGATTAAAAGATCAGAACTCAGAAATAAATAAATAAAGAAAAACACGGTAGAAAAGAATCCTCTCCACCAAGTGCTGTTGACAGGCGCAATCCAACTACTGCCACCTGAAAATCCTACCGAGCAGACGAGAAAACCCAGCTAAACACCACCCACTCCCACCCCAGCCACGCACATGTCCCACAAAAAAGATGAACCAAACAAAACTCCGATTCCATCAAGAGGCTTACATTAAACACAGGGCCTCCGGAGAGTCCATAGCCGCCCCTGTAATGATACGTCCAGATGATAACCAGCACTATGCTGACGATCCCCAGGATGTGCACCAGGGGCGCCGTTTGCTTGTGCGTAAGGCCCGAATACGTCGCCATAACTAGCACTGATCCACCTCGCTACTCCACAAGGCAAAATTCAGCTGCGGAGCTGCTAGAATCGAAACCAAAAACCACAAAAAATATGGACAGAGAAGCTTCAGTGCCGGAACGCAATGCAGCGACACAGTAAGAGGAAAAAGTAACTGAGGTGAGCGCCGCAAATGGGGAGTGGTAGAGCAGAACCCACCTCGGAATCGGAGGGAGGGAGTGTTGTGTCGCAAGCAGATTCGAATCCAGTGGCTTTGGTGGGTGTGGCGTCGTGGGCAGCACACGTCGAATTTGCATCCGCCATTCTCCTCTCGCTGCTTTTTGTTTTCTTGGTGCCTGCAACTTCGCCTCCTCCTGCCCCGTCTCGCTCTGGCACCGACGTCGCTGGAATCGATTGTTCACCCCCCGTCCACCGCTCATCCACACGCGTCCATCTCTCGTCCACCCGCCTTGCACCACTCATCCACCCTCGTCCATCGCTTGTGCATTCTCATTCTTCGATTTTTTCAACGTCGTTCGTTTGCCGCTTGTCATCATCCATCCCCATATAGAGTTTGCTCCACCTCATCCGATGCGCTGGGAAAAAGCTCACGATGCAACTCAAAAAGGCTTTCTGGGGTTTCTGACACGAGGGCAAAAGATAAGTTATAAAACATCTAAAAACGAAAAAGGAGCGTTTCCGTCTCTTCTTTTGGTCAAAATCTTTGATGTAAATCCTTTAAACATTTTTTTTAAATGCTAATGTAAATCCTTTAAAGTGAAAAAAATCATGTTTTCTACAAATAAAATATATATATATATATATATATATATATATTTTCACTTTAAAAAAAATAAATTTTTTGCATACTCAATTGATATTGATTCTAAAAAAACTGGATAAAATCAAAAGCATTTTTTGTTGATCATATATATATATATATATATATATATACATGAATATAATTATAGAGTGTATAAAAAATATAATTTTGATAAAATCGATTATTTCTCTTTTTATTTTGTATTATATTCTAAAATATTTTATCTCTATTTAGTCGAAATCATTCATAAATCTAACAAGTTGGTTGAAGCTCTTCTTGAAGCTAGTGTAGGCATCTAAAAACCCAATAATCCTATTTTTGATTTTGGTTCTTGAACATAATTGCTACTAAATTTTCTATATTTTAGAACTTAATTATATCTTCTAATTAAAAAAAATATTATACTGTAAATCTTACTGTAGAATTTAAAAACCTCCTCATATATATCTACACAGCCTAAACACCCATGAAAGGTACTCAGATGATGCAATTAAATCTTACATTTATTTATTTTTTCTAATTTTTTAAAAGAGCAGTCATGTCAATCATTTTATGACATTGAGTATTAAAAGATATCTTTGCAGCTAACATTTTCTGGAATCATCAATGAATCATATACGTTTTAAATGTTTTAGATTATCCTAAGTTATCTTAATTCTATATTGATATTTTTGAAATTTAGATTTTGTTTTATAGTAGTATTGTTTTAAAATAAAAATATAAAATTAGAATGTATTTATGGAATCTCAAGACCATGAACTTAAGCCTATCTTGTTTTAGTTGAAAATCAATTGCAACAATTGTCACAACCTTCACCATTATATAGATTTATTAAAGATGGATTTTTTTTATTTTTTTATTTTTTAACATTGAGTATATTTATTTCATAGCAACTTTTGTACAATAATCTTTCAAAGAATGTTTAAGCCTTGGTTATTATAGTAAAAGTTGGTAGCATTGACATTGGTAGTCAAGTGAACATTTTCCAAGATTAAAGTTTACTTATATGTAGACCCCAAATATTTATAGTTATAATTGTTGGTTGGATGAGCTTTTATGTATGTATATAGTGTGTTGTATGTATTCAATTTCATTATTCTTGAAAGGCAATGAACTAGATCTAATAAAAGATTAAGCTACAAAAGCACCATCTACTAATTTATACAATAAAATCAAAAACCATGTTTTGCAATGAATTACTTACCTTTCTAGCTTTGGCAATTTTATATGACTGCAATAGCCACATACTAAATGATGAAGTGGATTATGACAATCTCATGTTTTTCAATAATAGATTAGTTGGTTTTTACATTATTTTGATTATATTATGATTTTAAAACTTTATCAAAAGGAGTAAGTAGTAGCAAAGTACAAGCTCAATCTTAATTCTTAAGTCAATGGCAACTGAGAGGAGGTTATTCTTTTGGTCAACATGCAAGACCTTAAATGACACTTTTGGAATTCATGTAGTGATATTCAGTTCTTACTCTACAACAGAATTTGAAAAATACTTTAAAACATTGATGTGAACAATAGGCATTATTTATGATCCTTATCTACAGTTTTTATGTATACCATTACCAAGTTACTTCACATCATACTTTGCCTTTACTCATGCATCATTCATTTACATGCCATTTTATGTCACACAAGCTTACAAAATGATGGTCATTGCAGAGCTGCCAAAATCCTTAACTTCAGGTGTATTGAATTAAAATACATGTAAAGGACATATTTAATAGCCAAAAGCATGATACAGTGAAGGCTAGGATCAATAATACGAAGCATGTTGCTAATACTAGCTAATCACATTTAAAAATAGCGATTCAACTTATAAACATGCTTCTGTTGCAAGGGCAACATTTCAAGCAGCTCTTTCACGTTGAACAATCCGAAAAACTTGATCCTACTCAAAAGAAAGCCTCTGTGTATTCACAAGGGAGGCATACGTGCCTTCTTTGGCGATAAGCTCCGCATGTGTTCCAACCTCTATGACGTTTCCATCAGCACACACGGCAATCTGGTCTGCAGCCTGAACTGTGCTCAATCTATGTGCTATCACCAATGTGGTCCGTCCCTGCACCCACATTAGCAAACGTTAAGTATACACATTAAATTATTTTCTCTACATCTCCACTCCACAACTGTATTTATCTCCGCTTCGAATAACTATATTTCTACTGTGAAAATTCAAATAGCAGGGAGAACACACCTTCATAAGTCGATCGAGTGCACCTTGCACTAGCCGCTCACTTACACTATCCAAGGCGCTGGTGGCCTGCAACATAGAGTTCCTTCTCAGTACGGATCTTACTACGGTTAAGATGCATACGTGTGTGCGCAGGCTGCGTGCTGAAGAGGTTCTGACATTAGCTAGACCCACATAAAAACCTTTATCTCAACGCAGGGGATTGAAAATGGTGTTCTACCTCATCTAAGATCAAAATGGGAGCGTTCTTCAGCAATGCCCTTGCGATCGCTATTCTCTGCAATTCCAGACAACACTCGTCAAAAAGGCTTTCAAAAATTGTGTACCGGTTGCCACACAATCTTACCCCATAAACTTTTTTAATCCACTATGTTGTGGAAAAGAATATCTAACGTCAGTTAGATGTGTGAAGTCAGGTGGACATACCTGGCGTTGACCGCCACTGAGAAGACTTCCTCGCTCTCCTACCATAGTATCGTAGCCCTGCAAGACCAGATCTTAGAGATAATTGAATCTAGATCTGCTGTTTTCAGAGTACACATCACGTACAATTAGGTTGGTATTCATTGATGTAAAGCTTAGTTTCTTCATCAGGTGCTCAATTATCACTTGTCGCTTAGATGTCCCACTTTGAAGGATGAACGGTTAATTCTTTACCTCAGGAAGCGATACAATAAAGTCATGTGCGTTGGCAGCTTTAGCCGCTGCTACAATCTCCGCTTCAGATACAGCTTTGTTAGGCAAACCGTATGCAATGTTCTCCGCCACAGTCATTGCAAATAACACCGGCTCCTGAAGCACAACCCATGCATTCAGTACATCAGTCCAAGTCAAATGTAGAATAACTTCATTTTTCACACAAATGTAAAAAGTTTTACTACTTACCTTGTGAGGATTTATTGCCTGCAACAATAGCAGAAATTCATCAACGTACCTGGTTCACAATGGACACTGCCCGTGCCCATTCGGATTTATCAAACTTCCGAACGTCGACTCCAGCTAGGGTTATCCGGCCACCACTTGGCTGTAGTACAGACATGTTGCACATTCAGTGCAGAGAATCAAAATCCAAATTCTGTTTTAAACGCTTGGATCCATACATATCATCGACTAGACTGGTTCAGGGCATCAAACTAGAAGCATGAAATATCGCATATTTGTTCCCTAGCCGTCAAAGAACTTGACCAAGAAAAAAAACCTCGTAAAAGCGGGCAAGTAGCTGCACGATTGTGCTCTTGCCAGCACCGCTTGATCCCACAACTGCTGTCACAGTGCGGCGCTTCAAATGCAGATTGATTCCTTTGAGGATAAGTGCCTCTGGTCGTAAAGGATACGCAAAAAACACATCTGCAAGGCAAGAAAGATGATTGAAGTAAGAGAAATATGATCATTAAAGATATGACATATCCTAAAAGCGCTGCATCCAAACTCAAATGTACGATACAATGAGCAGCAGACATGGTGAGATATTGTAGCAGGTATAGCATCATTAGAATACGATTAGAATCTGCATCAAGGACGATATAACTAGTTACTGGATTTACAAAAACTTACTTTCGAGCACAACGTCCCCTGACCATGCTAATTCGCAAACACTTTTTTTAGAATCATAGTTTAGGGAATGAGCGGCTGTCCCATTGAAAGAGCGATCCACCACCCCAGTGTCCACAGAGCTTTCACACTCGTCAGGGTTCTGCAACTCTCCCCGAGCTTCTCGTTCCAAGCCATGTGCGAGCCACTCGTCTACCTCTGCTCTGCCTACCACAGTGTTGATACGTTTAACGGCTGAAAGCATACCCTGAAGGTCGGCTAGAGTGTTAACAAGCCCTTGCACCTGCTCACGAAAGTGACAACAAAATCATCAGCAATTGAAAGTCATAACCTTCACCTGACACGGTTTGTGGAACCGAAATAGCTAAGTGTGAATGTATCTAGGATAAATTAGTGTAATAGTAATCAACAAATGTATGCTGTATGACTTACCGCAAATGTTAAGGTGAATGTATATCCAACAAAAGAAACCATTGTTCCAATTGCCAGCTCTCCCTGCAATGTAGCGAAAAGTCATTGATGTCAAAGGAAAGTCTAGATTTAAAGAACAAAACAGTGCAAGTATGATCGATCCGTGAAAGTCAACTATTTCAAGCATTGACTTTAGTATCCGGCGTAACTTACAGCTTTGACTTTAGTTCCGCCGAGAAAGTAAAGAGCCATCAAGGAGATATAAATTGCCACCCGAGTCCAAGATTCATTTGTAGATTTTAGCCAGCCCAATTTGTCTCCACTCTTTTGGAACGCTAAAACCTGCTCCATTACAAATAATTTTACATCATCAAGAGCATGGAGATAATTCAACCCAATAGGAAGAAGAAAATAAAAGTGCTTTTCAAGTTTCAACAAACTCAATGTAACATACATTATCAGCAAGATGCCGATCTGATTAGTTCAAATACCAAGGACTATGAAGCTTCAACATTTTGCATGGTTATAAGTTTGATAATTTCACCATTTCATCAAACATTCCTGTCTGCCTTCTTTCACCACCAAATGATCGGACCTGCACAACCACAAAATCTACCATTAATAACTGAATTCACCCTCTATTGCTACCTCATTGATCTTATGGAAAAGTTTAAAATACATGTAACTAATGTAACACAAAATTAGCGACTCGGCAAGTGTAACACATAAATTATGAGACACCTAACGAGGTGCATTGACCCGAAAGGAGAAGTTCTTAAAATCACAATGATTTAAAATGAACGAGAAAACACAGACCCTTGCGAATAATAACGAAAAGCAAAGGTGGGTTTAAAATAATCTGACGAGTCAAAGTTACGTAAATGAGTGCATTTTAGAGTCTAAATGTTGTAAATAGTAGAGAGCTTATGCAAGATCTTAAGACAAGATGCTAGCAGTCTGGAATTAAACTGACCGTCCGTATGGCTGAAAACGTCTCATTGGCACAATCAATCATTCGAGCCTGAAACGCGCCATGAGCTTTGAAAACCGGCATTGTTGTTCGCTTGTAGATTGCTACAGCCGTCAAACATGAAATGTCTTAATCCCAGGAGGCGTTTTAATATCATTGCAATCGTACAAATGATCAATCGAAGATACACTCCACAACACCAAATACTTTCTTATTTTAATTCATAAGCAAGCTGAATGGATCTGCTGTCCCTGCCAAATGGCCAAAAGGAGTAAATTTGGAGGAGATGTAGTGCTCACATATAGTAGCAGAAACGGAAAGCATCAAAAGCGCAAGAACAGGAGCAAGCTGAGTGGATAGTGCGAAAAGAATACAAAGTGTTCCCATCATCTACATCCATAACAACGGCAAATGTGAGGAACTGGCTTGAATGAGAAAATGAAAGTCTCATAAAATAATCGATCACTCAAACAAACTTATAAACTTATAGGGTTTAAATTGATGCTGAAAATTGAAATTCTAATTCATGTATTTGAAGAATGATTACACCCCGCCAAAGAACCATAGTGGCGAGGCTTTTCATTAGAAATACTAAGTGTTTGTACTTGCAGGAGAGTGCAGAAAGGCATGTCAAGAGAACAAACTAACCTCTGAAAAGGCTCGAAAACCACGATCTCGAGAAACATTTTCATTCACAAGATCTTTCATGGCTCCCAAATCTTGTGAAAGAATTCCAGTGAGTTCACCAACCTGGCCAAGCACGCTGCCATAAAGACCTTTTAAACCGATACCTAGGACCAGAGTCCTTACCCTCTATTGCTTTCCCTAGCACCTCCTTGTGTCTTCTGCTCTGTCGCAGCGGGTTTTGAAAGGGTGTATTTCGAAAGCTAACAACAGTGCGCTGACGACAATATACGTAGTGATTTCGTATAAAATACATTGTTTAACCGGTAACTCGCGTGGCAGGATAGACAGCCATCGGAATCAAGCGCAATCAACAGAGCCAGCGTCGGTTGCAAATTAAAACCAAAGTAATTTTTTTGAAGAGGGAGTCAGTAACAGTACCTTGTGGCGATCGAAGAATTCCACCTGAGACAGGGAAGTATTTGCAATGTTAGTACATGTCTCCTTCCTATGCTCGAGTGAAGTACGTACCAATTTTAAACAAAGACAAACGTGAGAAGCAGGATGTTGGAGGTGGCAAATGACCTTTTGAATCAAAATGCGACGGAAAACCTCCGAGCGTAAATGAGCCATCACATTCTCCCATACGTGAACCAGATTTGTTATAAATACTACTGTCAACGCCGGCTCCATAAGATAAATTACTCCAAGCTTGGCTAGAAGCTCCGACAGAGGCTCCTTCCTGACTCCGATCAAAGTTTCGAAAAATTTGCCTGCCAAAAACATAGTTCTAAAGGATATTAATTGAAGGTAAATTGCTGCAACGCTAGAACTGCAACGCTCGTCGATAACCTTCAAATGTTCCGTGTTTTCCTATTACGTAATGTTCCAGCAATGCCTGAATACCAATCAAGTGCTGGCCGCAACCAGTAAGTCCAGGTGCACAACCAAATCGAAATACATAGGGAAATGCTTACAACTTGAACATCCAAGCGAATCGGCATCGATGAACCGAGTTCCACAACGCTAACGGCGCACAATTACAGTTGCGCAATTTGAGTTACATATCAATCCAATTAGTGAAGAGAAATGTTTGACACATAGAAGTTAGGTAGGCAGTTCGCGAGCCAAACTTCAATTTCTAGCGTTGTTGTAACACAGATCACTTTCACAAATTTCATGAGAGTCTTTGAGGCAACTATAACGAAGTCCACGAAAAATCTAAAATAAAGACAAGAAGAGCGTGAAGTGATAAAGAGACTGAGACCTGAAAACAGAGGCATCATGAGGGTACAAGTTGTAGCAGCCAGAAGAGCCATGGCAGCCACACTGAGACGGAGCTTTTGCTTCCACAGCAGTCCAAGCACGAGGCTCCAAGTGATGATTGGCTTAGGGCCCCGCGGAGCCACCGGCACAGAACCCAACACATCCTCCATTCCATCGTTGTCAAGGTTTGCAAACTGCGGGTCAGCTGGGGGTGAGATAAACGCTGCTTTAGTCGCTACACGCTTGGAGGACCTCCTCCCATCTACACCACTTAACCTTCTCCGCCCAACACCCAGACTCTGCAGAGACGTCCCATCTCCACCAAGGAACCCAAATCTCCTCGATACAGAGAGCCTAATCTGGCCGGGATCCAATGCACATAGGGGTGGAGTCTTGGGAATGGTAGTTGCACTCCAGCTACAGAAAGAATTCGTGGCTGTCACGCTGAATTGGCGCATGGCCACAGTCGACATAGCTACTCACTCCCCCAGCCCCCTACCCACCTCCCCCTTCAAAATCTAATGCATTCACAACTCTTTTCTCGAATGTCAATCCCCAGATCAACAACACTCACCAATTCCACAAAACACCACCACCAATTCTCTCACCCCTCGCCGCAACCTTCACACGAATTCCCCCACCCTCTTCCACAGGAACACACACAACTCCCCACTTCCTTGTTCTTCTTCCTCCACATCCACGGAAATCCGACTCAGCGCTATATGAATACTCGTCTATCTACAAACTATCCTTAACACTTACTCTCAACCGAAATATTCAACCCAAACTCCCTCACGCTTCTCACTCACAAACAAAGGGGAGACGTCGAGTTTCGACAGTCAGGCACTCAATCCAATGTTAGCCTTGCCATTAATAATACAGGCCATCGTCGAGCTGGACCAACCCTAAACCAAAATCACGTTACCAATCCCTGATTGCTTCTCCCAAGCAATCCAGGCTCCAAACAACAGCACGAGATAAACTCCTCGACACACTTGTAACCAATCCAGATGAAACAATACACATATAATATATATTTAAATATTTATTTATTTATATATATAATAAATATATCGTGATTTCTGCATGTACGAACTTTGCAAAGCGGGGAAGGGAAAAGCTGGTGGAGGAATTTGACTGTTGATGTGACGACGACACGACAATTGGAAGAGAGGTGGAGTGCAGGACAACGGCTATAGGCTCCCTATATAGGGAAGTAGGAGGAGGAAGCGTAACCTGCCCCGCGCAAGGCTTCCCCTCTTACAGGCCAGGCCTTTGCCGTGCCGGGCCACCCCACTCCACCGCTCGCCCGAGCATCATCCTCGGCAAGGGTGCCGTGCCCGCAACGAGAGGGGTGGGGGAAGGGTAAAATGAAGGGAGACAGGGGGCGGGTGATGACGCACCACTTGGGGGTGGCGCCACTGGCTTCCTCCAAATTGCTTGGGTGGCCCGTCGCCACACACCTTCCCGCCCATTCTCCACCCCTTGTCCCGCCCCGTTGACCTTCAGCGTTGACCCCATTCCTAGCCACGGGAACCGTTCGCTTCATGGAAACCTTGCTCTCCTCGACTGTGTGGTGCCCGTTTTAAGCCCCTTTGGGCTTGTCAATGCCTCCATCCATGTGTACAAGTGGGTTTGTTGGCCTTACCACAACTTCGTTACTGATTCTGGTGACCTTTTCTTCATAATGCTGATTTATGAGCATATGTTAGTTATTGATAATCATTCGTTTGATAAGAGTTTTTTGTAAGTTGAAATTTTAAAGTGATTTTGTTTTCAAGGTACAAGTACATCAAAAACTAAACATGATTTATGACTTAATATCCTTATTTTGTGTGTTTGTCAATATAATCATTTGGATTAAATACTCAAATGTGATTAAATATTATATATATATATATATATATATATATATAATATTTTAATTTTTAGATAGTCAATAATATATATATATACTTTAGATTATTATGTTGAAACATAAAAATATCATATTACAAAATTCTAAACCTTAAATTACTATATCAAAATATAATTCATAAATTATTTTTATTTTTATTGTAGAACTATTAAATATTAAAGTTGTAAATAAATGTTTGAAAATTTAAAATTTTCATAGTTATATTATATTTTATTGTAAAGAATTATACTTATTAATACTAAAATAAATTTTTAAATTATCTTAAGAAATAAAAGTAGGTAGAAATATATTAGATAAATAATATCTTTAAAATAAAAATATTAAAAAAAGTTTTTTAACATAGATAAGATGTATAGATTTTTCTATTTATGTCACTTAACTAAACAAACTTGTTCTAAAAGTTTCTTACTTTAAAAAAAAAATTAACAAAAAGAAACTTATAATCTAGATGTCTAAGCTTATACAAGGCCTTATTTATAGATAGTATATATAGAGCCAAGACTAAGGTTATTCTCAATCATGTCAACTTCTTTCTTATAATATATATGTTCTTTATGAATTTTTTTCTTCTAAGTAATACAAAGATATATTATCTTTTAAGTTTTTATTTATTTATTTTATTTTTATTCTAATTTTTAAATCCACATCTTTGGTAATTTAAAAAGATTAGCAATGACAATATTAAAATTTGATCTTTTTTGATAAAAATGAAACTATTCATTTTTCTCAAGAATATCAAAGTATTGGAGAGGTTGAAAATTATATTCATCTAAATTGATTTTATTTTTATTTTACCATTTTTTTATCATGTATAATTTTTTTAAATCATCACAATTATAGTTAAATTAGTAGAATTAAAGAGATTAATTATATAGATGTAATTTTTTTAAAAAAAATAAAATTAAAAAACTAATTCTTGCTACATATTAATTTTATCTAACATTGTATTGAATATGAAGATGGAATAATTAAGAAGAAATAAAGATGATAGTAGTTTTATTAACAACTATATAATATCAAGTAACTCATGTGAACACCATTGTATTAACTAATGAATAAAAAATTGTTCATTTACAGAAGTTTGATAGTATTAAAATCTAAGTTTTAAAGAATTATCAACCAAATGCAATTTTTCATTAAGCTATATTTTTTTAGTTACTTAATTTAAGCATTCTAAAGGAGATTTTATTTTATAAAATCATAAAAAATAAAAATATAAGAAATATAACTTTAATTTTAAAAATAAAGAATTAAATTAAAAAGATAAAATAAATTTTAAAATTTATTTTTTTATATATTATTAAATATTTCTACAAAATTATTATAGAACTATATATTAAAATAAAAAAATAATAAACATAAATTTTACAAGAAAATAAAGATATGTTATTATCAATCATACAATTTGAAATAAAAATTTAAGATTAATATCATGGATATACTATACATGAGACCAAACAAGAAGTTGAATAAAAGAGTTTTAAGTAGAAAGCTAATAAGAACTTGATTAAACTAGACGAGTATAAGATCAACACTAAGAAAAGTGTATTTGAGCTCTAAGAGATATATTGTCAAGACTGAGAATCTCCTCAACCTTAACTCTAATATATACTAGGTATTATAAAGCCTCTCAAGAAGTTTTCATATTGCTTGAAGACAAAAAAATCTTAGAAAATTTCTTTAAAAGTTTTTATGTTTCTTGAAACAAAGCAATCATTAGAAGCTTCTTGGATAACTTCTTTGATACTCCTAGAATTTTTTAGAATTTTTTAGAATATTTTAAGAATATTTTATGACTTCTTATTAGAATATTCTAAGAATATTATAAAATCTTTTAAAATTTGATATAATATTCTAAAAATATTCCTACAATCTTCTTCTTGGATGTCCATGTCACTTCTTCTAACTTTGAATTTCATGAGGAGTATGGATTTCATATCTTCAATAAAATGATCAAAGCTCAAGCATCATTTTTAAGGCTTTTTTTTATTTCAGTTGATTATAGCATAGGCGTTTTTTTCCTTGAGAAGGTCTAACTTTATCTTAAAGATGATTTTATAAAGGTTACAAAAATTCAAATTGTTAATTTGGTAGTAGTAATAAGAAAAGCTCCAATTTTGACTCTACTTTGAGATTCTTGACCTAAAGACTCTCCAAAGACTCTCTAATTCAATATATTGGATCATAAATTAAATACATTAAATTTTAAGGTTGTTATGAAAAATACATGCTTTTTTTATTATATATAATATTTTAGTGGTAGCTTCAAAGAGAAGTCATCCTAAAATAGATTAGATTTTTGAAAATAGCATCAATGAAACTCATGTATCTTTTGTGGTACATTAATTAGCTTTTTTGCTGATTCTCACATACGTTCATTGATATTGTAGCCATATCAATGAATAAAATATTCCAATTTTTCTCTTCTTTGCCAAAAATCAAGGATCTTTTTCACTTCATATTCCACATAATTATCTATTTGAATACAAAGAGGTGGTAGTTGTCTTCTTCTTAAAATAGTTGATTCTATATAAGCCTCTAAAAGATAAACATGAAAGACTAGATGTACCTTCATGGATGTAGGTAATTCTAACAAATAAGCCACTAGATTGATTTATTTTTGAATATAAAATAGTCCCACTCTTTGATAGTCCAAGTTATAGTAAGATCAATTTATCTTGATATTTTGTCAAAAAAGCCATATTTTATTTCCAACTTAAAAAGTAAGAGATTCTTTTTTAAACTCATTTGAAGCTACTTTGTAAGAATCTTAAATTGCTTGTAAATTGAGCTTTAAATTTTTTTGGAGCTATGATAATTATTTTGCAAGATCTTTAGTTCTTGGATTTTCATCCTTTAATATACTTAAAAAATCAAGCTTTAAATGGTAATTATAATTAGTACAAAATGGTGTTTATTGAGTCAAAGCATAAAAAATATTATTATAAGCAAATTCTACTAAAGATAAATACAAAGTTCAATCATCTTTTTGATAATTGGTAGTATATTGCAAATACTGCTTCAAAACTTGATTGAATTATTTTATTTGACCATTGATTTGAAAGTAGAAGACAAAAGAAAGTTTGATATCTACCTTCAATATTTCAAAAAAAGATTTCTAAAACTTTGATACAAATTGAGATCTTTGATCAAAAATAATATCATCAGGTAAGTCATGATATTAATATATATTATCAAGAAAGAGCCTTGTTATTTCTTTGTTAGAAATTATCTTTTTGCATGGAATAAAATATGCCATCTATATAAATCAATCTATAAAAACATAGATGGCATCGAATATAAGTGATCGTAGCAAATCAGTGATGAAATCCATTGATACTAAAGACCAAGATAGCTTTGAAATTGGCAATGGCTATAGAAGTCTATAAGATCAATGATAAGAATTCTTAGATCTTGAATAAATGCCACATGAGAGAATAAAGTCTTTTACATTCTTCAATATTTAAAGCCACCAAAAATCTTAAGAGATAAGCTCTAATATTTTATTAAATCCAAAATGTCATGTATTTAGAAAATCATGATAAGATTGAAGAACACAAAGTCGCATTGGTCTTTCTAGAATATATAAACAATCTTCACAATATAAAAGATCTTCCACAAATTTGAACTTGTTGTTGTCAGGGTACTATTTGATATTACAAATTAATAAGTTTTTAGTTAATGTTCTACAAATTTATTTAAGAAAACTTAAATCAATAAGTATAGCTATAGATGCAATACAAAATAAAACTGTTTTGACTTCAAGAAAGTGATATATTATTGATTAAATGTTGCTTTTCTAAACTTTGGAACAAGATGTGATTTTTTTGATAAAGCATCTGATAATACTTGTTGCTTCTTTGGTTGATATATAATCATAAAATTAAAGTAAAATAATAATATATTCTAATAAATTTGGCAATAATTTAGAATCCAAATTTATATGAAATACTCCAAGCTTTTATAATTTTTATATATAGTCACAAGATATATAATATCTTTCAGTAAGTAATGTCATTCTTAAAAATAATCTATAATGACAAGGAGCTCTTTGTTGTGAATCTCATAATTGATATTTTTAGCTTAAAACTTTCTAG